CAACTTATGTATCAACGATATGCAAACTCATTCCCCTAGACGCCAGGAAGGATGAATTTGAAGTAAAAGAAAAAAAAGAAAAAAACATTTTTAAACTTTATACATTTTGGTTATAAATATTTTAAATTTTTATTATCCTTTTATAATTTTTGGAATTTTTCAGTACATACGTATCCTATGTTACAACATCCTTGTCAAAGTGACTGACTTTACTTTACAAAAGATAAAATGGGTATACCTTTACTTGTTGTGATAAGTTTCTACGTTCAAGGTGTTGTTCAAGATGTTATTCTCTCTATTCAAAGCATGAACATATTGGATGCTCGTAGAATAAAGCTTCATAACCAGGTAGTAGCCAGCCGTACTAAGTCCAGTAGTCAAGCCAGGCAGGGGTATTAAGATATAAATTCAATGCATGGTGAATGCTATTCTGATCATTCTTGTTGCGCTTGGCAAGGAATAAATCTACTGAAAACACCCACGGCTGGGCTTAGTGAGATACATCCAAAATAGAAAGTCAAGGAGAAGGTAATATTAAAGAAACGACGGGATTTTTCCATCACATCTCCCAAGGATGAAACCATAGGGGTTACTTGGAGCTAGGTCCCGGGAAATACATAAAGCAGATTATGCAAATATTTAAATAAATTTATGCATGTGTTATACATTTTTAAACTGGTCTCCGGGTATGGTGAAGTGGTTTAGCTGGACGACCTGGAGAAACAGGTCTACGATATACCCCTTGGGCGAGAAGGTTCATTTCATTTAACAGTTATCTGCGGACCTACACTTGGGATAGTGGACATTGTAAATGCTGTGAACATCTTTGGGATTAGGCAAGAGACTATGCAAGTGTCAATCGCCAAAGCAACGGCAATAGATGTTGTTGCTTTGGCGTACCTCGACTATACGGCATATCAGTATTGTTGTGGCTGTGCAACCGGACCCATTTTTTCTGAAGCTAAAATCTACGTAGGGAAGACCTTACAAAATATAGCCGAGGCAAGAAGAAAATTCACCAAGGGCATGTGACGGATTGCTTTCACATACCATGGAGGATGAGGGTGAAATACTCGACCCAGAGATGTGAAAAGTTATTTTTTCCTAAAGCTGAACTGGTCTCGAAGGATCACCATGTGAGACCAGTGACTATCAAATTCTACCCAGTTCAAGGACTACAGCACCATCGTGGTACAGCAAGCAATTCTGGCTGATATGGTTGGAGACAAAGTCCATTCTCTGTGAAAGTCAACCCTGTGCTCTCCATATTCGTTACTGGTTTGTACATCAAACAAAAAGTGGAGAGAAGGTTGCTGGCTACAAGGTTGTTGATTTCCGAATCATCTGGCTATGAAATTCAAATGATAGTACGTATGAAGGTGCAAAAGTAATAGGAATCTTAAAGGTAACTAACCCCCAAAATTTTACTCTCAAGTTGCTATGTCATAGATAAGCACAAAGGAATCGCTGATTTGGATTCAGAATGAAGCCAAATTTCTCTACCACTCCAAAGGTGGATAGCAACCTTCAAAAGAGTCATGTGTCAAAGATGTCAAAGTTAGTCATAAACTACAGTATCTACAACTTCAATCCAAGGCAAGCATTTTAGAGGTGTGCAAAATTATAGTCCTTTGGAACAGTGTACCACATGTACTGCCGTTGTGTACTGCCTTTGTAATGCTCCTGTAATGTTAAAAGTTAAACGAAGGCACAGTTACTCAGGCACTTCGAGCGGGGCGACGAACAAGAATCGGATACGAGTCAGAGCATTAGAACCCGGGGGAAACTCGGGACCGACCAAGACAAATGGCCAAACGAAAGGACTGATTTCCAATGATCAGGAAGATGAGTCCAACGCACACTCTCCGAGAAACTGTGGTCTGCGAGAGAAGAACACGAATAGTCCTCAAGATGACTCCCTCGTCTCAATCTGGAAAAAGTATGCGAAAGGTCTCTCCGGTTGAAGAAGGTCCTCTGTGACAGACTTTTGAAGCGGGAGCCGTTAACACGGACTTCTCGAGGGACGCTGGGCAGAGAAACATTTTCGTCCACCGCTGCTCACCTTGAGTCTCCCATATTCTCTATCGGCTGCTGACTCGGCATAGACTGGAAGGTTTTGCCCTGCCCTGCATTTGCGGGTGACGGGCAGCTGCCTGCTCCCGGGAACCTGACACAAACAAGCGCCAACGGCTCAGTCCCTCCTCCAGTCTCCTTTTGTACCTGTCACCCCTATATTCCATATATTTTATTCCGTTTCCCGCATCCCCTATCCTCCCTGGGAGCAGCGGAATGTCATGTTGATTTTGCCATGATCTGGATTTGGACTCGTCACTGAAGAGCCCCACATGCACAGAGAGACCAGAACATGGTGTCTTGTCATGTGAACATTAGGACATAGAGCTATTCAGAATGCAGTCTTGTCACTCTAGCCGAGAAAACAACCAGATCTACTAAGCAGAATCACATGCATGCAAACAGTCGTAGTTATAATATTCTTTTTTCCGTTCTGCAGCAGCCATGCCGTCCAAAGTTGATGATGGCCACTAGATTTTCAGCACACAGAGAGAGGAGAGGAGAGAAGACAATCCACATCCAATCACTTCACATTCCAAATGCCATGTCTTTATATGGAACAGACATTCCATACATTCGGGCAAGCAGCTCCGAAAAACTCGCAAAAAATTGCGCATTTTGTGCTCTAAAGCCAGTAATTTACAATATACATTTGACCTGGATGCAATTTTAGAGGCCTATCCAGGAGATGTGAAGATAACTTCATACAATTTACGATATTGGGGAAATTATACCGAGAAATATGCACCGGATGGATGAGATCAAGACAACTCCTGACAGCTAATTTGACCAAAATGTGGCAGAAGTGGACGTAGGGACTGGACTGGACTGGACTGGAAGGAGTCCCGAGACCCGGTCCCGAACCGGGAAGCAGACGGTCTTCAACAGAGTCCGAAGCCAAAAGTTCCGACAAAGAATTAAGGGCGGGCCGGCGGGCAGCAGACTAAGGGGCTCTGGAGTATGGAGTCTGGGTCCAGGCTAAGCATTAGAGGAAGGGGTTCTTCAGTTCGTGCTCTACGAAAACGTTTAATCAGTCGATTATTCCGGTCCCAGCATCGCACGGATCCGCGGGGCGGACTTTGACGTAGCCGCATTCGTCGATGCGCCACAGGCCTCGGTGGAACCATCGCAGTGCGGGTCGATGGACGACTGCGATGTACCGATCTGCCAGCCTCACCTCATAGTGCTCACACCGCCATGATCAAAGTCAAACGATCATGTCGACGGCGATTACAGCAACGAAAAGAGAAGAACTGCGGTCTCGTGAGGTAAACCACGGTCAGGCCGGTAATCAGCAGAGTAATAATGGTACTGACGCGACATGTTCCAGTAGTTAGGGTGGCGTGTGCTGTCGGCCCCGCCCCTGTTAGACCCAGTCCAGAAACGAGCTGAGGAGCCCCTGCAGGCCTACGCCTGCTCCCTGGGAAATTAAAACACCCGCTGCCCGAACCAATGACAGCCGCTTCTCTCCATCTGCGCCTAACCTAGTCCCGGGACCCCGTCTCCCGGTCGCTACGCTCGTGTAGGCAGGTTGCAGTGGCGAAGGGCGTAACTCGAGTACTGCGTCCCGGGCACCGAACCGAGCCACAGCTCCGCTGCACGCGCTGTCTGACTTCGCGCTGCGTTCGTTCGGCATGCATGCATGCATCCCTCATGCTCCATGGCGGGCGGATGCGCATGCGATGGCATAGAATCGAATAGAATGGCAAGGTGATGGAATCTGTCCAAGGACTCCAGAGCAAGGGTCGGGTCCGAAGGGAAAGCGGCGAAAGGCAGCGAGGGCAGGAAGGATTGGACGGCGTGGGAGGACGGGGACCGAGGGGCCGAAGGGCCCCGGTGCCTCGTCATTAAGGGCTCCCCACTTTCGGGGGAACGCGAGCTCTGCCCGCCCGGGCCCGATGCCAGGGGGTCCCTGGCCCGACCTCCCGCTTCGACCAGGGAGGGCCGCCCCGCTCCCGCTCGACCATCGGGCTCCCTCGCAGCCTCCCTTCCCCGCAGGGAACTTGTGCACATTTTCCTGTTTGTTGAATCAATATCTTGGGTTACCATGCATAAGACCAACCTCAAAATGAGAACTCTTCTTGTTCATGATAGCAGTCAATAGACGGTGAATTGATTCAGAATCAGCTGCAAACGGAAGAACATGTGAAAGAAACTTTTCTTTCACAAGAAACAGCAGCAAGGTAGCGAGCGTGCTATAGCATGTGAGGGTAATCTAACCTGAAATTTTTCCACTCTCCTCTTCATTTCTTCTGTTACTATTTTCGACTCTTTCGTCAACACCTTACAACACTTGGCAGAGTTCTTGTACCACATTTCAACATTATTTTGGACTTCCTCCGCATCTAAGTTGGAGAAAGGACCATCCATCCATGCGGGAAGAACTTTCAAGAAGTCCCAAGCTGTGTGCCAGATCAAAGCGCAGTTCTCAAACTCAGCATTGAGTGCATCCAATTCTGGGAATTCTGTAATCATAAGAGGGAAGGAGGCCAAAATTGTTCACAAAATGTCAAAAATGGCTTTGGTTCGCAATGCTGCCCTCACTTATTCATTCGAACATGCCCGATCCCGAGATTTCAAAGCTTTTCTCCCAGGACAGAGAGAGACCCCAGAGAGTTCTCCTTGAACTGGTTTGAATGGCTCGAAAGGTCCGGGGCAAACTGAGAACATTCACTGGACATTACACTGGTGCAGGCGACCCTCGCCACTAATGGCTCCCCGGGACCCCTAAACCCGGGAGCGGGGCGGCACTCCCTGGTCGAAGCGGGAGGTCGGGTTGCGGGCCCGGGCGGGCAGAGCTCGCGTTCCCCCGAAAGTGGGAAGCCCTTAGTGACGAGCGGCCCCGGTGACGGGAACCGCGATGGACGATCGGCGAGCTCGAATCTATAAAGTTGTCGGGGTGCGGACCGAGGGGAGACGAGAAGGCGAGCAATTCGATCAGCAGCAGCTCGAGCAGAGAAGAGAAGAGAAGAGCAGAGCAGAGCAGAGCAGGGCAGAGAAGAGAATCCGGAGCTATCGGGGTGGGGCACGTTCGTCGGGACGCGGGGCTGCTTGGGCAGCGACGCAGGGAGGGAAGCCAGGTCCGGCGGAGCAGGTGCTGCGAAAGTGTTGGAGCGAGAGATTTCGGGCGCACGGAGTGGAAGAAAGCGAAGATCGTGAAAGAGCAAGCGATCCTGGCGAGTGGGCGCTGGCTCTAATACGCTGCCTGCCGTTCGCACACAACGCGGGACCGAGTAACGGGGGCGTGTTGTGGTGACCGCGTGGGGCGAGTGAGTGAGTGAGTGAGGGAGGGAGGGAGGGAGCGAGCGCGCAGGCCTCGAGCATCGAGCATCGAGCATCGAGCGAGCCTGGCTGGGAAACGAAAGCCCCTCGCTGACTCTGGCTCTCGCACTCTGCGTGCGTCCGGGAGCCGGCCTCGGAAAGAAAAGGGAGCCCAGAGGCAACGGGATCTCAGAGACGGTTCTCTCGCGACTGGGCCGACCGATTGATTTTTCGGAGTGTTTGGGTGGCCATACATATGAATTGGTGTCTGCGTCGCTGCCGTGGTTGCCTTTAACGCCCGAGCAAGAGGCCCGAGCGAATTGCGAGTTGCAGAGCGGCGGACGGGAGGTGCCGGTGAGGGTGGTGGGGGAGCGCGATGGCGGAGGCTGCAGCGTTGGAGGGCGTGAGACAATGCACGAGTGAGCTGGACAAGTATGTGTACCTGCGGCACTTGCAGCAGGAGAGCCCGGCGTTGTTTTACAAGCTTCTGATCAACAATGCGCAGGAGCTGCTGCCGGTTGTGTACACGCCCACCGTGGGGCAGGCGTGCCAGGAATACAGCAAATTGCCCATCAAGATGCACGGGCTCGTGATCAGGCCCGCCGACAAGGGCCATATTCTGGCCAAGCTCCGAGACTGGGCGGGCGTTGAGCGCGTCAGAGTCATCGTGGTGACTGATGGCGAGCGCATTCTGGGCCTGGGAGATCTGGGATTCAATGGCATGGGCATCGCCGAAGGTAAAATTCTCCTCTACACCGTCATGGCCGGTGTCAATCCAGCTGTGTGCATGCCTGTGTGCCTGGATGTGGGCACGAACAACCAAGAGCTGCTGGCTGATCCGACGTACAAGGGTCTCAGACAGAAGAGGCTGCGCGGGCCTGAATACGACGATCTGGTCGACGAGTTCATGAGCGCTGTCCGGGACTTGGGAGATCACACTCTGCTACAGTTCGAGGACTTCGGAAATTCCAATGCATTCCGTCTGTTGGACAAGTATGCTCCTCTGCAGTGCTCGTTCAATGACGATATCCAGGGGACAGCGTGCATCACGCTGGCTGGTTTACTGTCAGCTCTCAGAGTTACAGGAAAACCCTTGCAAGACCAGAAGATACTGTTTTTGGGCGCGGGCGAAGCCGGCACGGGCATCGGCCAGCTCATTAGCAAGGCCATTCAAGCCGAGAGCAACCTGACGGAGGAGGAGGCATTGCAACGGTGTTATTATTTGGATTCCAAGGGTCTCGTATGTCGCTCCCGCACCGATCTCCAGCACCATAAGCTGCCGTTTGCCCACGATGTGCCTTTCCAATCCAACCTTCTTGATGCAGGTCAGACCTTGAATTAATTCTGTCAATCCCTGTCCGTATCCCTGCCTTCGATTCAATTCTGCTGTAGCTTGTCAGTAGTGCGTCTGCCAAAGCTCCCAGAATGCAGCGTAAGATGTTGCCGTCTGCCCACGTCACTCTGCGACGTGAATTTCTCGGTGCGGGTCTGCTTTTGTTCTCCATTGTCGTTGTGTTCTCTCTTGTTATCCTCATTCTGCTTCGAAGCTACGATCGAATTGTGCATCTAGTCGAAGTGACTGCATGCGCCATGACGATTGCTTGCTTTGTGATCTACATCTTCTGCTCAGCTTACACTGCTGATCGACTGTCGTGCAGTGAGGGAGTTGAAGCCCACCATGCTCGTGGGAGTGTCCACTCAGCCTGGAGCCTTCAGCAAGGAGGTTTGCGAGGCGATGTCCGAAAGCAATGATAGGCCAATCATCTTCCCGTTGTCGAACCCAACGTCCAAGGCGGAGTGCACGTACGAAGAAGCATTTTCATGGACCAATGGCAAGGTGGTGTTTGCCAGTGGCAGCCCCTTCGACTCCCTGAAAGCTCCTGACGGAAAGATTTATTTCCCGGCCCAAGCAAACAATGCTTACATATCCTTCGTCACTAGTCTCTTCGATTGCATGCTTTTCCGTTTCTTACACTCGAATCGTAGTCTGTTAAGGTAAGTGATGTATGAAGCATTTCTAAGTTGTCACAGTCTACAATTTCGATTACGAGTTTGAGGTTTGCCTTAATTCTTGAGAGCACGTCTTTGGCCCTATCGGTATGGCAGCTCTGTTGACCCACTGCCATCAGATCACCGATGAGGTGTTCCTACAGGCGGCGAAAGTTTTGGCTGATTTGACCCCGGAATCCACTCTGGAATCCGGCATGTTGTTCCCCAGCATCTCCGACATGAAGGTAGTTCCTCAAATCCTCGTGTATTTCGTCGTTCAGGTCCTGATTTCCAAGATCGAGTTCTTGGGACAACATTGTTAACCACCTTTCGTGTTCAGGGGATGGTGGTGCCTCTCATTGCCGGCATCGCCGATTTCATGGTGAAATCGAATCTGGGAAAGAGACCAGGAGGTGTGTCAAAGTGGGAGGATCACGTCAAGGCTCAGATGTATCAGCCCAAGGTATACGGACGAGCTCTGTCTGTAAAGGTTGCGCCCACACCTGTTCCAGAGGTGCACCATGAGGACATGCAAGAACTCATTATGATTCGCCACATGTACACTGATATCCAACGCTACTTATTCCTTCGATACCTCCAGGTACTTTTAATAACGATCTACTTTTTCTATGAAAGGGCTGTAGATTTGCGTGTGCAAGTTCTACACTACTGACCATAAGCCCACTATGAGCCGTATGAAAGTGCAATGCAGCCCACACTTCGGCTGATATCGCAGTAGTGCCCCACGTTTTATGGCCCGTTGATTTCTTCATCTGCAACCTTTGATGTTCTATACGATGTGCAAGAGCAGGATTCACAACCGGATACCTTCTGGAAACTCATGATCAACAACGCCCAAGAGCTTCTGCCCTATGTCTACACCCCAACAGTCGGAGAGGCTTGTGAAAAGTACAGTAATCTCCCCATCAAGACTCGAGGCTTATACATAAGAGAAGAAGACTCTGGAAAGATCCTGGAAAAGCTAAAGGCTTGGCGACACCAGGATATTCAAGTTATTGTTGTCACTGATGGGGAGAGAATTCTTGGGCTTGGAGGTAGGTGTGAGGTTTTGTGAACAATCGGAAGCCAGTTGCTTGTATTTTGACTCTCCAACGATGTGACTGAAGTAGTTTTTAACAGCTCTTGTGTATCGCTGAACTTGGGATACATCGTGGAAATGTCGAAGATCCCCCCACCTCATATGTACCTTATAGGCGGATTGCATCTACCGGGGTTCCTTTCAATTGTAGTGCTATGTAGTACGTCCATGGTCATCATGGAAATCAGTGATTAGGTTCGGAGAAGTTTGTACCAATGGATACAAATATTGCTCCTTGCATTATCGGACAGGATAGCACATTCTCAGTGAACTAACACAAACCCATAGGATTGAAAGCATTATTTTTTCTGTAAGATCTAAAAATTCTTCCAACCTCAAGTCGGTAATATCAAGACAGTCAAGAAGCTCTACCTCTCATGCTCCTTCACGATCTTTTTTTCTCAAAATTAGTTAGCTTGTGTTGTAAATTAGTATTACCGATGTACAAGCATTGCATTGATTTCGTACGGTAAAGCAGTCTCTAGTTTATGTGAACTCTGACTTTGGCTCTTTTGTAGTTCCAAAGTAGCAGCAATACCTTGGATCTTCTCATTTTCTGGCTTCGCAGCTGAAAACATGTAGACGAAGTGATTTTTATCCTTCTTCCTGTACTAATCATTTTCTGTTTTCTTCCGTGACATACCAGATTTGGGAGCTGGTGGTATGGGCATCAGTGAAGGAAAGATCATACTGTACACTGTGTTTGGTGGCGTGGATCCGAAGCGCTGTCTACCGGTTTGCATAGACGTGGGTACAAACAAGGAAAGCCTCCTTCAAGATGCTGAGTACATTGGTGTTAAGCACAAACGTTTGCGTGGTGAGAAGTACGATGCGCTTGTAGATGAGTTGGTCCATGCTGTAAAGGAGTGGCAGCCTCATCTGCTCTTACAGGTACATTAAAAGCTTTTATTATAAGTTACAGACGAGGTAGGTTGTGTTCCATATGGTGTGAACTGTCAGCTTTTCAAGAAGGTCATTGCAGCTTATGAAATGTATTTGTGCAAAGTGAATCTGTCAAGATCTCTTCGTTCTTATCATCTGTATGATTTAATTTTGTCTTTCTTTGTAGAAAATAACAAGTAATCAAAAGTAAGAAAGTAGAAATGCATTGTTGCCAGTTTTGCATATTCTGGGGAAATATCTCACCTCAGAGTGAGCTCTGCGATCAATTCGTGACATTCTATTCTGATGTGCAGTTCGAAGACTTCGGCAACACCAATGCCTTCCATGTTTTGGAGAGGGCCCAAGATGTAGTGTGTTGCTTCAACGATGACATTCAGGGAACCGCTTGTATCACTCTCACAGGCCTTCTGTCCGCTCTTCGAGTTACAGGTATCGATGCCTTCCATGAAATTTCTTAACACTCAATGCTGAGAATTCGGGATTCATACGTTTTGGCATTCATAACTGCCATTGTGCTTAGGACAGCTCATAATATTGATTACCTGTGATTCGTTTTCATTCCATTGAGGACCAGACACCTGATCAGAAAATTTTAGAACAGAAGGAATGATTTTATTGGATGCTAATACCAGTTAGTTTATATGACTATGAAGGACTTTCTGACGTAGAAGCCTTTTCTTTGACAGGGAAGAAACTAGATGAGCAGAGGATCTTGTTTTTGGGGGCCGGCGAGGCAGGTACAGGAATTGGAAAACTTATAGCTTTGGCTATAAATCAGACATGTGGAGTTCCGATGGAAGAGGCCATGAAGTTCTGTTTCTATGTGGATTCGAAGGGTCTTGTTTGCAAGTCAAGAACAGGCCTGCAACACCACAAGTTGCCGTTTGCCCATGACGTACCTTTCCAGCCGGACCTTCTTTCAGCTGTGAAAGAACTGAGGTGGGGTTTATTGTCCTCTAATAATGACGTCTCGAGTTTGTATTCACATTGCAAGGAATCAATTTCCATTCGCCTTCCATCCATGTGCAAAGCCTCCATGGATTACTTGTTAAAAGTAGCTTAGCTCATCATTGACCTTACCATTTCTTGCGCATCTTGCAGACCCACAGTATTGATCGGAGTCTCCACTATTACAGGGGCTTTCAGTAAAGAGGTTCTGGAAGCCATGCGCGAATACAATGAGCGTCCAGTTGTATTTCCTCTATCTAACCCTACTTCGAAAGCAGAGTGCACTTTTGAAGAAGCTTACCAACATACTGGGGGAGCTGTCGTATTTGCGAGTGGGAGCCCCTTCCCTCCATTTGTTACTAATGACGAGAGAACGTTGTTCCCGGCGCAAGCAAACAATGCTTACATATCCTTCTTGAGTAATCCTCCGGATTTCATGTCGTTCTTGTTTAATATCTCAGTTTCTTTTTCTCTCTGCTGCACTTATTGCAACATGCGTATTCTGGATGTTGTTCACGCAAAGAAAATTGATGAACGGACAGACTAGAGAATGAGCCCTTGCTTCAGTGTCAAATATTTGGAAGGTCTCTTACTTTAAGCTTTCTTCGGCTGAGAGTAAATTAAGGAAATGATGGAAGTCATGTTGTTTCGTGGTTCGCTGTCTGAAGTCTCAATTTCCGGTACTGCACAATTCTGTCGGTGGAATGCCTTAACTACAGAGCACATTTTCGGACCCATCGGTATGGCGGCGGTTTTGACCAAGTGTAAGACGATCACAGAAGAGGTATTCTTGATAACCGCGGAGCTCCTTGCGGCAAAAACTCCAGAAGCTCGACTAGAATCCGGAATGCTGTTCCCAGCATTTTCAGATATGAAGGTAACCTCGAATCTCCGCTTTGTTTTGTCAACTGAACCTATCATGAATCTGTATCATGTACCAAGATCAAGATTCTAGATTGTGATTTTGGAATTAAAATAACTTCAGGTTTTCAGTTTAGAGAGGTACTTGTGGAACATCTGTTCCCGAAGTGGAAGGTATGTGCTGACAAAATGGGATTCTTTCAATATGCATGATCTCTGCTTCTTTGTGAGCTTGACAGTAGAGGCCTCCGACGATGCTCATAACATTTTGCTGTATGGACTTTACAGGAAGTTGCACCCCAGCTTATTGCTGGAATTTGTGAGTATATGATGAAGGTTGGTCTGGGAACACAGCCAGATGGAGTGACTGACTGGTTAGAATACGTGAAGGAGCAAATGTTTAAGCCTCCTGAAGGAACTTCAAGTCGTCTTTGAATGTCATCCCGATCTTCATAAGGTGCCAATATCCCCTGGCGTATTAGCAAATGGGCCAGGCTCGGCCGGGTCGAATGTAATTTATTAGAAGATAGTCAGTTTTTTTCCATATGCCCATACTTTTTGTTGGGTGCATTTATTGCGATTGTCTTAAAATTAGACACTTCGATGAGGAATATGATCATCTCCATCCGCCTAGAGTTTCGAACTCCACCAATTGAAGTTACCAACTGGTTTCATAGGTGAAGCCACATCGCTTTCACTGTCTTCCAAGACACACCTCGGAACTAGTTTTAAGTTTTCCAGATCCGTAATTTGGATACATTCTGGGTAATCGCTACACAGAATTCCAGAGTCTTATGGAATCACATAAGTAGAGCAGGTCGAAGATCAAGAGGTTTCAGCTTTCTTGCCTTGGTGTGAAGTTCGACGTGACGTCGAGGAGAAAGGTAGCACCTTCCTGCACTGCGTGTTGTTTCGTACAATCTGATCCTTTCCCTTGATTGTTGAGGTACAAATGTAAGTTCGGCCTGCACTGGCATCTCCCTGACTTGAAAAAATTCAAAAGGATCTATTATGCCGTCAATGACATATTGTCAATCATCCATTCGTCCTCGAGTACTCTCTTCGTCAGTAGTGACTATGAATGACTCTTGAAGTCCGCCAAGTCCTTAAGCACTGACGTATCTTAAGCCACCGAAACGACCATTATCTAGTCCAACTGCGCATTTCGGTTTGGACTTTTTCCGATACCTGTGTCAGATCACGAACCTGGGTCTCGCCCACATTGTATGAATGAAATGTGTCACCAACGCTGCCCTGATCGGAGTCCGGACGAGTTTGCAAGCATTCAGATTCCATTCAGCTGCACGCGTTGTAACCTGTGCGGAGCATGCGTGTTTGGTGGTGTACGCTTGCCGCGTTTTATTTCCTGCACATCGCACGCCATCCTGTCCTCTCGGACTGACGCAGCGGTCACGGAAGTGCTGGAAAGAGCGTCTCCCAGCCTTGAGAGCGTGCAGGAATTTGCTTGATCTGCACATTACAATTGATGTGCTTGCATCGTGCATTTTATTCCTTGCGTGGGGATGCACGCCGCACGCCGCCATAAGGAGCGTGGGGGAGAAGCTGAAGCACCGTCTGCGCACCATACCTCGCAGTCGAGCAATGTCATTGTGAATACAGTAAGTGAATGACTGTCCATCAAAGCGTGCTGTATTGGAACGAATCAAGACCCAATCCTTCGACCCGACAGTCCGAGGCTTTGGACTGACGGACAGATGTGTGTTCCACATATACAGCTATATTAGTAGGTCGTCTAAATTAGTTTAATTAGTGGCATCACGAAATTTAGGCGCGCATGAGTGCACTTGCAAGCGAATGAGTGGTTTGGAGAAACAGTCGCCATCAATCGTGGGATGCAGTCCGGTTGTGGATGATAGAAAAATTGATTTAGAAACTGCGGATTACGACCTCGGTAATTTATGAAACTGAGGTGGTTCCAAGTTGAAAAAAAATCATTACACCTTATTGGCTAAGATTTTACACGTTTCAATTTTGAACTAGAGGGAACATCAAATTAAGTAATTTAGACACCTATGTATAAACTCGCCTAATATAACTATTCCTGCACATGTAAAATCCTTAGTACATGTATGCATCCTAGGTAATGCACAAAGTAAAAGTAATACAGTAGTCTCCCCATTAAGTACTAAAATTCCATATTGGAGTATATATATATATATATATATATTATCCCAGGTGAGTGAATAGTCCTTCACATCTTTCTCTCTTCATATGAAGTGTAATAAACCTACCGACAATAATGAGTAAATTTATGAGAGATTCATATATAATTTCTAGATTTTTTTTTCTATTTAATAATAATTATATCAAAATTACTTGGACAGGTCTTGAGATTTATTATGACACAACTTTTAATTAGACGAATCAATTGTAATATCAAAGGAACCGAAACCAAATTTACTAAATGAGTTTGAGCAATGTTACATAAGTTGAACATCTTAATTCTTGACAACAATGTTAGTGAAGCGACTGTAAAAAAAATGTGTGAGACATGCGAAGCAAATACTAAAAATTACTGACTAAATATCTCAGCCTAAAGAGAATAGTTTTCAATCTTGTTAGTTGTTTTATTGAGTTTGAAGAAATATTGTACATTTGAATTTGGATTGACATGCGTAGTGCCAATTTCACTATTTGCCAAGCAAAAAATATTGCATTTAGTTTATTAATTTTGGCTAAATCAATCACAAGACTATAAAGGTGATGCTTATCAAAGAGGTATCTGAAGTCAACAAATGTCCATTACTGAAACGTACTTGTTATTGAATTGTATGTGCCCAATATTATCTGCAAAGGTTTAGAATATGATCCATAGTTGCTTTAAACTAGTACCTAAATACACTTAAACATCAACCAAAAATTGGCTTACAAACGTCATATGAGTACACATCAACCAACTTTGATTTCCAAACACAAGAATCTTCAAAACTTGCACAAAATAATCATATATGATATTTTGAACTAAATAAATCTTGATGCCTACTTATCCGGGATGCTTATTCAAACGGGTGCATACTTACTGTAATTTACTGTACATCAACACGAAAAAGGCAAAAATCATGACAGATTATCGATAAATCGGAGGCTCTTAGAATATGATGTGGTACTTCCAATGTGCGTGGACTATGCAAATGTAGATTTATATCTAATCATGCATCTGAAGACATGGTATGATTTTGAGAGAGGGATTCCATCCATAAAATAAGAGTATCAAAGAAGTGAAATAGATTATGAACAAAAGCTGAATTGATTTCAAAAACATAAACACTTGATTTGCAATTTAAGAAATCAATCTGATTTTTTATCTTAATATTCTTCAGATTAACATGTTTTAGACTTTATGATTTGGACTTATTCCATGTATTGAGTAATTGCAGTCATGTTGCTTAAGTTTGCATTAGTACGCAAGTAGCTTGTGAGAATATCATGAGTGTAATTTAGGTTCATGTTAAGATGGTATAGTTATGTTTTCACATGACTATTAAATAAGACTACATAAATCATCTTTTAAATTGTTGCTATGAAAATAAATTTGTTAGATTTAAACATATTGTCAAATCAATGTGCAACAATGATGATGTCAATGTTGGATAAAACTTGGTTCATAAGACTTCAAGAAAAGAACATTATGATATTTTTTTCACAAGAAAATTGATTGAAAAGACAAATATTAACCCAAATATCCTTTGATACCAAAATATTGACATCTCATATTTTCATAGCAATATTTTTATATATATATATATATATTGATTTTTCATTTTCAAAAAAATTTGACAATAAATGATCAATTCACCAACAAATTTAAGCGCATCTAAATTAACAGACTCTTGTATACTTTTCAACTGTCTCCCTTTGAAACAGAGCCAAAGTCTGTTTCAAAGCATGCGATGCACATGAAGCAATTCACTACAGAATTGGTCAAATTCTACTAACCTAATTTACTCCTCCCTTCAAGTTTTCTTGTGATACAGAGATTTTTTTGTAGTGGACACAGTCTTCAGATTGGTGAACCACGTTATCTTTTGCATCGACTTGTATTTACTCTTGTTGTGATTTTTTATGATCTTGTTTGGTCGTTTGAATCTCGTTTAAGTTCTATTAGCACAAACACAAAATTACAATATTCAATAGACGAGTGATGTGATTCATTTGTAAGTCCACAAGACATACTTTTTTTACTTATATCTCCTAAATATATTTATTTTTATATTTATATATTCAAAAACAATCTTATCACATTTTTTCACATTAATTCTCTTGTATAAGAGTTTCACTCATGACATTTTGAATCTAACAATGTCAGATATATAAAAAAAAATATTCCATGTGATGTATGAACATGAAATAACTGATTAACACATAACTATGTCAAACATTTAATATGTTACGAATTTCAATATATCCGACTTCTAATATTGATAATTATTTATGATAGTTGAATAGTTTGATTATTTTTTTGAAAAGAAAAAATTATCATGTCATAAATAGAAAGTGAACAAGCATTATTAACAATCCATACATCATCAATATTCCTTGATAAACCATAAAATATGTATTTTTAAAAATAATGCATCTTCAAATAAGTCATTCTCTTCTATATTATGATTTTGAGTTATATTGCAGATAAAAAAATTAAAAACTTTTATCTTGACACGTCAATTATGTTCAAAATGATACTTTGTGTCATGATTCTGACATATCATTATAACAAAATTACTCTTTAATTTTAAGTTAATTTCTATATATAAATTTTACATTATTTTATATAACATTTATATATAGAAATAAGTTTTAATCTAATTTTTCCTTGTCATCTGTGAATGTAATTGTCGTTGAGACATATATTTTGTGTTATCGAACGAAGAAAATGAAAATATGGCATTCTCATCTTATGTTATAAATCATTAATCAATAAAATATTTCACAATTTCATCATTTATAATTGAGTCGTATTCTTATTTATGAAGATGAAACAACATTGTGCAACTTAGTAGTAAAATGCTAATACTGTACTTCAATTTAATAATATATTATTTTATTGAATAGAGGTATTGAGGTAAAAAGTTAAAATTATTTTTTAAATTTTTATTTTTTAAATCCTTGATTCATCATTTCAAATCACCATGTGTTTATAGAATTTTTGCATTGAATATAATATCTAGAACGATTTTAAGATTTCAAATGATTAACATTCATATATTATATCAAAGATTTTTTTTTATTTTGAATATTAAAAATATTCTATTTTCATAAAATAATAATAATATTTTATTCATTTAAGCATTTTACACTGGTTGTAATTGAAATTTTTTTGACTCAATTCAAAAAATACTTAAAAATATTTTCAATAATTAAGATATGGAATATTATTTTTTATTTATGTTATTTTTTATATTCAAAATGATTTTTTATGGGATACAAAGTAATTTTATCAAATTTGGAAATTAGATTCATCGTAGAGTGATACATTTTATTTTAAAATTATTATGCATAAAAAATAATTTAGGTCAAGATAGTACCATAGCAGCGTGTCATGATCAAAAGATGAATCGCATCGCAAGGGCCAAAGCGAGATGTTAAGGTGCCAATGGAGCTTGGTGACATGGACTTGGTGATCGGAACGTTGCGCTAATGCTAATTCCATGCCTAAGTGCAAGACTTTGGTCAAACCTCGAACTGGGCCCTGAGATCGACGGCCCTAGATCGGCATTAGCGAATTTGGAATTGCTGAATAGTAAGATCAAGAGATTTCATTCAATTTCTTCATATTTTATTTAAAAATAAAATAAAATATGAATTTTTATTATTTTAATTTCAAAATAAACAGATAATGTTTATTAATTAATAAAATTAAAAATACTATAGAAAATTTTATATAATCAATTGTACAAATGCAACATGAACAATCAATTAATGATTTACAAACTATATAGATTATCAAACACTAGAAATTTGTGCAGTTTAAATTTATTATAAGTTTAATTTCACTAAAATTTATAGATGTCAAACCTTCAAATAAGGTTTCTAATCATCTTTTAGTTGATAAATTTTCAATTCTAATTTTATCTTTATAAATTAATAGTAAAATAAAAAGTTTTTTAATGTGTATAAAAAAGTTCACAAACACAAGATTTTAATATTTTTCATAATTTTTCATATTCAAGCTAGAAATGTTAGAAATTTGAGCTAGAAAAACAGAAATTGTATCAATAAATTGAAATTTATATGACATATGCTCTTATTTTGATTATTTTATTTTAGAATTAAGTTTAATTATTATACTTCAAACATTTCGATTCAACATTTAAAAAAAATAAATTAAATTTTGTATAAAAATATATATAATGTGTATTGATGATGGTTTAAACAAATTAAATGAATTTTTTTTAGAATATAGCAAAAATTAGATTAATCAAAATCACCAAATCTAGCCACATTGGTGAATTCCTTTCGATCACCATCAAATGTATCCACATGCATTGCTTGCATTGTATTAACACGTAACCGCCAATGGCGGAGAAAGTAAGCTGACAAGGAGCAGTAGTAAATAAATTAATGCTAGAATATATTGCAACCCAATACTCTAGGGATGGAGAAAGTATTGATCTAAAAAGCTATGGATTACTAATTTACGCTTTTAAGTCAATTAATTATAATTTTAAAATACCTACATTTATGAAACTTTCACAACTGAAACAATATTTAATTCACAAAAAATAAAAATAAAAATTTTAATCTTATGTGAAGGGTTTTTATAAAATACTTTGAAAATTTAAAAAAAATGTCTATGTCAAATTTGAAATCTGTTAAAAAAATATAGATTCTAACATGATTTCAAAATTCAATGGATAACAAAGATATAGATTGAAAAAATAAAATTTAAAAATTTAAAGTAATTTTTTAATTTATCAAGTGAAATCATAAACTTTTTGGAATAAAATTTAAATTATTATGTGAAAAATAAATAATTTTGCAAATTTGATTCATATTCATTCTATTTTATCTGTAAAATTTTCAAAATAATTATTATATATTCTAATTATCATAATTTAAATCAAATATGTTTTGAATATTAAAACTCAATATTCCAAAATACTTTTGTGTCATCAAAAAAATTTCCATAAAATTGCAATAATGTAAATATTTAATTTTACAAAAAAATGAATTATTTTAAAAACAATTTGTTTAAAATTTTTACTGAAGAAAACCGAATTTCTTGTGTAATTTTTAATCCTATTATTTTTAACAAGATTATTTTTGATGTAGAATTTAATGTTGTCATAACCATGTTGATAAATCTTTAAAAATTTTCAAAATATAAATTATATAATTAAGAATATATGAAAATATATTAAAACAAAAGCTCATCATTGATGTTAACACATTTTGTTGGTTTGATATATATGAAGTATTTGATCATATACTTTTTAGTAATACGATAAAATTATTGATTTATATTATATATATCTTTGAAACAATATAGTAAAAATAATTTTAAAAAAGGTGTTAAAAATCATCATTGAAATAAGATTGACAGATTGAAATATAATCATTGAAATTTTTTTATTAATATTCATTGAGCTTTTCAATTTTTTTTATTTGGTGATAACTTTGCTTAAAATTGTGTGATAAGAAAAAACTTAAATTTAATTATGATGTTGATTTCATTTGATATCCTTTGATGTATGAATGTTTATTTTCATATTATTTTACACATGAATTATTTTGTTTGATACTGGAAAATGCATTATATTTTGTTAGAAAAATAATTTGTTTGATAATGTGATTATTTATGAAAGTTTCAAAAAATGCAATCTTTTGAATCTGAAAAAATAATTAAAATAATAATAATAATAATTAAAATAAGAAAATTATTTTCATTCAGAGTTTAAAAATTGATAATGATATATAACATGTATTTTATTTTATAATGATATTAAAAAAGTTAAATTATAATTTAAATAATAATAATTATTAACAAAAAATATCATAATCTAATGATATGATCAAATCAAAATCAAATAATATCTAAAATTAAATATTTAAATTGAAGCACGTTTTTGTTAATTTCATTTATCAAATAAGATAGAAATTATTATTTTAGATTCAAAAAAATTAATTTTAATGTTGAATATCTTGACATATATTTAAAAAAAATAATATTGTTTCAATAATTTCATTTAATTTTTACCAAAAATCAATTCTTTGCGCTGTCATTGTCATTTTGTGTATACAAATTTTATTTTAAAATTGAAAAGTTAATATTTAATATTTAGAAGAAAAAGAAATAAATTATCAAAATATTTTTCATAATATTCTATACAATATCATTATACTTCTAAAATGCATAATCTTAAATCAACTATGTGCTTAAACTTTGAATTTCCGCATTGAACATTAATCATATAATATCAATAAATTGTTCATATTTTATTTATAGATTATATATTTAAATTTAAAAATTACAAAATTTTGAAGCATATGAAGAATATTTCTGTTAATTAACATTTTATTTCTCTAAAATTTGGTTTTCAAGAGGAAATATTAATATTATAATGTAATAAACATGTTGATGACTGAAGAAGTTATCGCTTTGTGTGTTTCACATATACTTTCACAATTGGCACGATATTTCACAGATTGTGAAATTGAGATATCACAGTTTACAGGATATGGTTCAGTTGTGGAGATATCTACAAGTTAGTTTTGTGAGACATTTGGAGAGTGGAAATGCGCAGTCGGGGGCGAACATGCATCTTATTGTCCTGGAGATAGGAAGTTGGAGCATCTCTGGTAATTGACGAGCATTTGAGAAACCCAGGAGATAAGTGTTTGAAGTACAGACTGGGAAAAAATATCTTTCTTTAAGAATCTTTTATAACCATTGCTAATAACTCATTTATGTACTTATTACAAAATTAGTATACAAGCATTGCATTTTAATTTTACTCAAGATTTGATGTTATTGAAAATTGATATGTATAATGTTCATATCAATTTTTAAATAAATCAATATAAGAATGCAAATTTTTTAACAAAAATCTTGGCTTAGATCTTGTATTTTAATATTATGTTATTATAGTGTAAAACTATATCTCACAAAAAAACTCAATTGGGAATAATTGACTTGTATTCAAAAAGTACAAACATGTATATTATCATCTCAAGTATTAATCTATTGTTTCTACATATAAGATTAAATTCCTAAGATATCATGAAGTATAAATGTTACAGGTATCATGAAAATATGTTTAGAAAAGGGATAAATTAAAACTTTCTGATTAGATTTATACTTTTGGCCGTGAATTTGTAGCTTTCACATCAAACGTTTTTGGGAAAAATACCAAGAAATATGATATTCAAACTATTGGATAAGTATATCCAAAATGAAATAATGGAATGGAAACATATTCGAGTAATTGTGGACAACATCTATTTACATGTAGCTGGACTTTGGCTCATGTTATCAAGGTACAAAGAAGAAGGATATGTGAGTTCATATTGTGCGAGCAGAGTTTCTGACAAATAGTATATATCCGCAGAAATCTCCAGGCACAGATTCCTCGCAGAAGAAAGTGATCAACTTGGTAGTCAGGAGGAAGAAGGCTTAGGCTCAAAAGGGAACAGAATGAAAAAGTTGCTCCCGCTGCCCGGAGGGATCGCTCGTCGACGTCCGTCCCAGCCAACAAGGGGTGGGCGTATATAAGGCGAAGGCGACCCAGCTGTATGAAATCGCTCTATCGGAGTATCGGAGTTCGGAACATCGGGGCGGAAGGCAGAAAGGACGACTTCGTAGGATGAGAGGGAGTGAGAGGGGCCGAGGGTCTTTTACAATTCGCAGCAGCGGCAGCAGCTTCTTCGCCCCGAGGATTAGCGAGAGAGGCGAGGCGAGGCGGAGGGGATCGAAGGCAAGCGAGGCGACATGGTAGGATTAGAGTGCGAAGTCGGGAGCGCGAGGTAGCACTCGTTTGCGTTTCGCGCACAGAATTAGGTTTTTTCGCGCGAGGGAGGTCGAGAGGAGCCTCAAGTGGACTTTGTGGAGATTGGGTGTCGCCCCTGGGCGAGCAAAGGTCGCAGGTTGCTAACGAGGCCGATTAGGGGTTTCAGGTGTAGTTCAGGAACAGGTTTGACCGGGATTGAGGAGGAAGATTAGAACAGGTGGATTAGGGATTTGGGGGCCAAACAGGACAGGAATCGATTAGGCGAGGAAAGAACGTCGGGAGGGCAACCTGAAGGACAAGGATTGGAATTTAGAGTGAGTATCTACGGTCCTTCCGTTTCCGGCATCAATCTGTGCGTCGTATGCATCCCTTCGGTCTTTGCCATCAGTGGTTTTACCTGTTTCATCACCTTTTCCATAGCTTCCACCGAACCTTTTTTCCAATCTCTTGCTGCTCTCTACCCTCCCTTTTCTCTCGTAGTGTTGTGCGATCACCGGTGTGCATTTGTGACATAGAAAGAACCCGATGAATTCTTCTCGTTCTTGCATCTGTATACGGATTTATATCCGTCTAGTGGTCCAGATAAGCTTGTACATATGTTTTTGAAGCAGTTATCTGCTCAAACTTCGTGCGTGCTACTGTCTCTTGGCTTCAGTGGATATCTTCGCCCTCGTTGTGCCAACTTCAGCCTTCCTTTATTTTGCAATTCTCAAACAATTCCACTATACCGGGAGGTCTTGGGAATACGATACGACTTGAACTAGCTTGTTCGGGGCAACTGCCAGCATTGTTGAGCACGTTATATCGTCATCGATGTGCATTCGAGTAGCTTCATGTAGCTGAAGGATCCTTCGTTTCTTTTGGAATATACTCAAGTCTATTGCCCCAGTAGCTGCTCTACAGCTTCAAGTGGTAGTGCTATTTGGTAAACTCTCCAGGTGGGTTCATGTCTGGATTGTGATTGGGCGTTCTAGAAACTCTTCTTTCAGACTGCTAATATGATTTATATATAATTTATGATTACACTGTGTATTTTCTTATTTTCTTATTTTCTTATTTCTGTGTATTTTCACAGTACAGACCGTAACAGTCTTTTAGACACCTTAGAACTGAATATTATCCTGCATTGGTTTCACCCTGTCCTCCCCATATTCTGGTCCCTCTATTTTGCTTTTACCCACAGGTGTATTCGTTGATTTCTCAGGCAGACTTTGTTTTTCAAAGGCTTGATCATGTCTTTACGTTTTTGTTTTCCTTCCAATTTTCGTGTGAATATGTTGTATTCATTGCTCGTGATGTGAAATTGATCGGATCCTACCTTTATCGACCTATGTAAAAGTGTCTTTTTTTCTTTTTGGTTCCAGCGTTCTTGCTTTGCATTAGATGTTAAATGTCTTTGTGACTGTATTATATACATTAATTCTTGCTTTCTGTATTCACCGGTATGCAGACCAGCTTGGAACATAAGAGGGCGAAGGAGCTCCTAGGGATGTGGTGAGATCGGGGCATGGAGTTAGACTGGGGATGAAGGATAGACGGTCATGGCACGAACGCCGATGGCCTTGCAGGATAGCAGTGGGGGAGCGGGTGCAGGGAGCACGCCCACGCGATCCCGCTGTGTGACAGAAACAGTGAACGGTTCTCATCACTTTACGATTAATGGATACTCCCTCGCCAAGGGAATGGGAGTGGGAAAGTATATTGCCAGTGACAGCTTCACAGTCGGCGGTTATCAGTGGGCTATCTATTTTTATCCTGATGGAAAGAATGCTGAGGACAATTCATTGTATGTTTCGGTTTTTATCGCTCTTGCCAGCGAGGGCACTGACGTGCGAGCTCTTTTTGAGCTAACTTTGTTGGACCAAAGTACAAAGGCGAAGCATAAGGTTCACAGTCATTTTGACCGCTCTTTGGAGAGTGGACCCTACACACTGAAGTACCGTGGAAGTATGTGGTATGTATTATGTTTCTCATTTCCATGAACCTAATTCACTCGTACAGTAATTCTTCTCGCTCACTTTCAGTTCATATCCCTGGCTGACTGTTATTGATTATTGTATTCTCCTCGTACTCTCGAATGTATGATAGAAAGACTCTTTGGTCTTTTTTTGCCCTTTTTTGCTGGAGGACGTTGATCTGGAAATTTTAATTTCAACGGTGTCTTCTGCTTTGTGGAGTAACTGTCGGGTTGTACCCTTTTCATGAGTGTAGTATTTGAAAGAAGTTTTTTGATTTCTATCCATGTAGAATCTGCAGCTTGCTTTGGTAATCAGTTTACGATCACTTTATCAGTGGTAACCGCAACAGTCAAAACAGTTATCTTACGTATATTCAAGTTTTGTCTGTATTTTCTGACTTTTCCTCCAATTTTTTGCAAGCAGGGGTTACAAGCGATTCTTCAGACGGGCCGTCCTAGAGACGTCTGACTTCCTGAAGAATGACACCCTTGCTATTACCTGCACTGTGGGTGTTGTCGTGTCATCTACCCAAGGTCCGAAATTGTATTCTATTCCACTTCCCGAGCCAGATCTAGGTACTCACTTCGGTTCTTTATTAGATAGCGGAGAAGGCGCGGATGTCACATTTGAGGTTGATGGCGAGATTTATCAGGCACACAAGTTGGTGCTGGCTGCACGCTCACCAGTGTTCAAGGCGCAACTATACGGGCCTATGCGTGATCGCAATGCCGGAAAAATAAAGATTGAAGATATTGAAGCTCCCGTATTCAAGGTTTGTGAAGGGCTTGAATATATGCTAGTTATGAGATACATCACTCTCATGTCGTGTATGGTGTGCATCACCTTGGATTTTATATACTCTCAGCACTTGATCTTGGTCAGTTGCGTTCATCGAAACGTGTTTATTGCTGCTCCATGAGCTGCTTCTTACTTTCGTGCAATGTTCGCTCCATGAGCTGTTTCTTTCGTACGTACAATGTTCGATGTATTGTTGGTTTTGCACAGTAAGGCTTGTATATACATGCAACATCTTAAAACCTTCATAGTCCTGTTTGCTTTAATCTGTCGTATGTTGTGCGAGTACAATCTTGCTAAATACACATAGATTAGACAGTTGATTGTGTTTTCAATCGTTCTGGCTCGTTCGATAACTCTTTTGATAAGCAATGTGGAATGCACTTTGTTGGGAATATTTTGGGTTGATTTTTCAAAGATTTTGACCTTTCCACTTTGTTTTGTTCACTACAGGCGATGCTACACTTCATCTACAGGGATTCACTGCCCGACACTCACGAGTTGACGGGTTCCTCTTCTTCAGCTTCGACTTTGATGGCACAACATTTGTTAGCTGCCGCAGATCGGTACGGGCTGGATAGGTTGCGCCTTTTGTGTGAGTCTAAACTGTGCGAGGACGTCAGTACAGACACCGTGGCCACTACACTCGCGCTCGCGGAACAACATCATGCTTCACAGCTCAAAGCTGTTTGTCTGAAGTATGCAGCAGCGAATCTTGCAGGTCTGTTGAACTTTCTCTTGCTGACCTTGTTTGACTTGTGCGTGGTACTTGTCAATGTGATATTTTGGTGTTCATCAGTCAATGGGTCTACCAAGTGGTACTTTTAGTCCTCCAGTCCTATCCAGTTGTATCCTCGATCATGGCTGCTTTCTTTCAAGTTCAGGGTTGGATATCAAGCCGACTGTTTGCTTTCTTTTTTGTCTGTGAAGTTTTTGTTTTTGGCAAGATGAATTGCATTTGAGCTTGATCCCGAGGTTAGTTTGAGTGTTAAGTGTCAAGTATATTGCTCTACATCTAGTTTGTGTTGACTCTTCCCAGTACTAATATCAAGCCTGCATTGCACATTCAAATCTTCTGTCAAAACCACGAGCTGATTGTCATAACGGATGCTGGAAATGATCAATTACAGCCTTCCTTTGTCCCGTGGTTTTTTTGCATGGTTTCTTGAAAATCGCTTCTTGTCTCTCCGGGCTTCACTCTAATCTTAGTTGTACATGAGGGCACATATGGGGCGTTAAGATCTTCAACTGTGTTAAATATTGCCGTCGAATGCAATGAGATGATAAGGTTATAGTAGTTTGAAAGTCAACCTGCTTACAGTCCTGCCCACAGTAGGGCATCCCTGTCCATGGCACTGATGAACGGTATGCCGAAAGTGACTGACAGTGATGAACCCGTTGAGAGAATTCAGATCATAAATTACACGACTAAACTAATGACCTGACAGAACTTGTGAAGAAATTGTGACCTTAGATACCCTAACGTCCATGACTTTTTTTTTGGGTCGGTGCTCTCTATTGCAAGACGCCAGCAGTGTTAGAAGTTTGGGGACATTTTTAAAGCTCTTTTAGCAGCTGTAGTAGTGTCTGTCTCGTTAAATAATTCGAGTCTATGACGTCATCTCCAAATTCGAAATAAGCGATGACATGTATATATATGGTCTCATATATACGAAAACATTTCTCAAAAACTTCACGGTAAGCAATACACACATGCATACTCTTTTCATCAGAGTCGACCTACTTATAAAAAATACTTCAGATGATGACTGAAACCATTGGTGATTTTCCAGCCGTCATGCATTCAGATGGATTCGAATATTTGAAAGACAGTTGTCCATCCCTTCAATCAGAGCTCCTAAGAACAGTGGCGGGCGTTGACGAGGATGTAGGTACAGGGATTAGAAACAGAAGTGTATGGGGTCAACATTCGGATGGTACCGATGCCAATGGGCGACGAGTGAGGCAGAGGACCTAGGCAAATCATTGGCAATTGTCAAGTGATTGTAGGCTGTCTTGCTTGTCAATATATTTTCTTCCATTAAGACATGCCTAGCTAGCTGTCAGCAGTCCTGAATGTGGACTCGGGTACTGGCCTCTTGTTTATGGTCATCATCATGAGGTTGCTTGCTCTTTGATGTAACCGTTCTTTTAGTCAGTTCAGAATTCAGTAGTGTAGGATGGGCGCAAGTAGTCAACCTCACCTTGTCAGTAGGAACGCATGGAACGTATGTGGTGAACGAATATGCTGCAACTGGAGGCGCCACATAAGTTTTTGATTATTTCAGTGATTGTCCAGATGGTAGGTGAATAGTGAAACTGTTTGAAAGTAAGGGAAGTAGTGATCTTTATGCCGTTGGAAGTCTCTTCCGCTTGGTCTCCACACTCACGATCTAAGCCACGAAGTAGCTTCTTGTCGCAGCGGCAGGCGGCAGGCTATGGGATGTCTCTATCCATGTTCACTGTTGAGGATACGAGAAAGTAAGTGAATAGATGTCTGTCAAAATGGCAGATCCCAAGTCTCTCAAAGTTGATAGCTGTTGATATGCTGATAGCCTTTCCCAATGTACTGCCAAATAAAGTCCTGTGAAGAAACTTTGGCCTAGGTGGCGAGGGAGAAGAAAGTTCTGTAGAATGCATTCCACTTTGACCCCTCTATCTGACGAGCCAGTTAAGGCAAAGTCTCGCGCTCCTTGTTATACAAATCCCAAGTGAATGGTTCGACAATTTAACGCACTTCCTGATCTTGTTGCCGAGGTATGACATACAGCTAATATCATTACTTACAACTCGGTTTATCTCTCAGAATTCTTCTTCTCTCTTGTACTTTTTATGGTGACTTACCTATGCAGCAAATGTTAAGAAGGATAATCCGGATGAGAGTCGAATGTTGGCGGAAACTGAAAGGGAAGTGCGGGGTGCACTGAACGTCGCCCTTTCTTATGTGCGTGACCCGGCCAGACGACATGCATAGTGATCATCCTTTGGAAGATAACGAAACAACATGATCTCGATCCAAAGCGAACTTCAGTGGTCCGATTCGAGGTGGACTACTGGTTCACGGGCACCTCAATGCTCAAAATTATCTAGCTTTGTTCAAATGGACTTGTCTCAAACAGTCTCATTGACAGGCCGAATATAGACAAACCAAATCCCGAAGAATCAGGGATAATGCCTGCCAAATCCAGGTTTTTTAGAAACTAAAGGTTATAAACAAGTTTTACGATTTTTACTACTTGCAGAAATCCGGGGCTCGCCCTGCGGGCCCTACGGCAAAAGTGATAAGTTCGGGACAAGGAACCCGTCTGCACATGCGAAAGAACTGGGCTATGAATATGCCCTCAACTCAGCCTTGGTGTAAAACTAGTGTTGTCCCCCCAAGAAGTCAAGTGAGGCGAGTACTAGTCCAACTCGGTTATGGAGCAAACTGGCCACAGCAATTCGCTGGATACAAATGTAGGGATGGAAGTCGCGTCACTTGGATGATCTTTGCTTGAAAATTTCATGACCGTAACTCCGCGTTGATGACATGGATGTATGGTTGAACGCCCATCAAATGCTCCAGTGCATGTCACTGACACAGTTAACTACACTTACTGTAGTGTGACGTTGCCTACCCTCTCACGCAATTGCAATCCTCAACACTTTATGGTTGTTATCCAGTTAAAGCTTTAAAATTTTCTGAGGTGACATTCATACTAACACTACCTTTTACTTTCAATGGATATATATAAATCCAACAAAAACTTTTCCTCTACAGGATTGTCACACAAAGCTGATGCCCATTGTCTCTTTTCACAAAATCTCAGGAACTGAGGGCTGTGCTCTCAGTTCAGCTATCACTCTCAATCTTCATATTAGTCCGCTGTACTGAAAACAGCAACAGCAGTCGTCGATGTCAAGATTTTTGTATGAATCTCACTCCGCGAATATGACGCGGATGTCAATATTAACTTAAGTAAAGAGTGCTAATGCTTGTCTTTCAAATATGTTATCATCGTTCTCAAAGTATATATTTGACCGTGCCGGACGCGATCATTTAACCGTTTTTGTTAATTGCGGTGACACTTCTGTCTTGACACTCATCTTTCCTTTGTCAAATGGATTTACTTCAATACGACAACTAGTTACTAAGATAACGGTCATTTAATTGTTGTCCAAGTAGTACTACCGAATATGTTAACTGGGGTGACACACATCTGTTTGACACTCATCTTTCCTTCGTCCAAATGCTACATTTAGATATGATATTTAGTTCCTCATCAATATAAGATAGTTATCACAATTCAGACTATGAGAATATAGTTTAAACGATCATCTTTAACACAAGGTCTGATACCAACACCTGCTTGAGTCTCCTTTTGTGGCGAAATAAGTCTCTTTAAACAAACTTACACAAACCCAACTAAATTTGGTTGATATTCAATATTTTGTTAAATAATCTCTGTCTTTGGTATTTGTTGATTGGTTTGTGGTGACACAAGTTCCTCCCTAGAAATCTACCAAAACTTTTCTTAGCAGGCTAAGTGCTTTTACAAAGTAGAATCCTTATCTTTGAATCTACATCTTTGTAAAATAAGCTTTTCCGCGAAACCGCTAAGGGCTTTACTTTGTATTGTATAACAACGGTAGAAATGCTTGAACGGCTGGATTGGCGCGCAGCGGCGGTTTGATAACTTTACCTTTCGCGCTTTATCTTTTTGTTTGTCAAAAGATAGCAAATCTATGTTCCTGCTTGGATGCTTCACGTTTTAATATCGCAATTTCTACCAGCATTTTCCTATGTGACAAAATGTCCTCTTTTCAGTTATTTTCCAAAACCTTTGCGGAAGTAGTTGCTTGTTCTCCAGAGACTCTTAGCATTAAACCGGTAACCCCCAATCCACTGCTTGCTGTGGATACCAATATTTACCAATCATTGTTTCTAGATTCTGTTATTCGTGGAATTGCATGGATTGGCATGGAATTGCAGTGAAGCGGAGGAAACCCAGAACGAGTTCTAGGAGCAATTGTCCTGTGAAATCGATTTCCCTGATCTTACATCTGGCTACCTATTCTCTTCAAAGACCTCCTGACATCTTTCGAAACTTTCACCCGTATGGCTTTCGAGCAACTCTGTGTAGATCTCGAGATAGCCTTGGATCTTTGTTCCTAAGAAGAGGTTTGAAATTTGGGTTCGAAATTTGGATTGAAACGAAATTTTGCATATGGAAAATCCAAGAGTTGGTTTAGTTGTTCCGAATTTTATTTGAACTGTTTGTTCGTTAACTTTTACATCGCATGAAGCTTCAAGCATTAGCCGCTTTGGCGCTTCAATGCTCAGGTTGACACTCGCCATGCTGTACTCCAGTTTCATTTCCAATTTGCAGAACACTAGCGACGAAAACTTCAAATAACCTCAATAAATTGAGGTTATTTATTGAGGTCAATTTATTGAGGTCAATTTATTGACCTCAATGCATTGTTTCTTTTGTGTTGTTTCTTTGCAATAAATTGATCTTTGTTCATTCAGAAGAAAAAACACAAACTATAGACACCGTCATGGCTGATGGAAATCAGGTCTAGATGGAATCGTGCGTGACAAATTGCGGATTCCGCTTTCAAGCTCGAGAGAAGAAGATCGCAGACGAGACTGCATCGCCAGTTGTGACCGTGGTCACAACCTCGAGGCAGCGGTTTGGGGTTCCGCTTTGGACCGCTCTTTCTCTTACTCTTTCGCAGTCGAACTTGCTGTGAAATCGATTTAAATATGGAGCGATAAATCTAACGTGCCGTGAAGCAATGATACGACTACAATTTACCACAACACCTAACACTTAAGCAGTTGACTTAAGGTCCCACACATAGTATCAATATTGGGTAGCCCAGCATCTTCACTTTCTTTGGTAGAGTGAAAAATTATACGAGCAGTTGAGAACCTCGAGTAGTTGTATACGCTGTACACAGTTCTTCGACATATTTTTTAGTAAACTCCCAAAAAGTTGATTTGTTTTATCTGAACCTACGAGTTGTATAGAGTAATGTAGAATACTGTACAGATACTCAAAGCAAGAAAAAAGTAAAACAGGCTTTGCCCTCCGACCTGACTACCCATGTGCCACTCAGTTGTCAAAATAAATCCACTTGCTTGCGTGACGACAGCGAGTGTATCAGCACATTAAATCATTGACTCACATACCTTGTTCGCTTGCACAGCAATGTCAAGAATTATTTTGACCGTCTAAGGACAATTTCCAATCTCATCGAGTGTGGAGGAACAGGCTTGTTGTGTTGGCATGTTGTCGCTACCTTGATCGCTCACACGATTCGATGACAAGATCTGATTGAAGACGCTGCATGTGTTTTTCACGACCTACCCATATTCCAGTGGGTCTCGATGCAACTAGATTCGCATTCTCCCACTCCAATTGTACCTTCAGCTTTACACAATGCAAAGTACTTGAAGTCTGAGATACTGAGCTTCCATCCATTCCAACACCTTCTGCATCCTCATCTTACCATCTTGAGATTGGGATTGAGAATGTCGGGTAACAAACCACTTCTCACATTTTCCTCCTTATACTTTAAGAGTATACGAGTCTCTCCAGCCTACTAAATTCCAGCTCACCGAACCGCTAAGCTATTAGAGCTCAACGCACCGTGAAGAATAGGAGAGTGCTTTTAATGGTATGCTCATCTTTGCTGCGAACCAGTCTTCTTTACATTTGAGATTCACCTCCAGAGCTATCAACTTTCCACTCAGTTCGAGTTCAGTTACAATTGCACATCAAACACTTTTCTCCGTTCCAGTTCACAATAGGTTTGCGTTCCAGATATATTCACGCACACGCTCTAGGAACCAGAATCCTGGTTGTCTACGTTCGTTTTTAAACACATCGGCTGTCCTGCGCTGCACTGAATTCTAGCAACCTCCAACTTCCACTTTGCTCAATCTTCCTCCTTTCATGATCATTGCTCGTGATCCGATGCACGGAGTAATTTCTGTGTCACTCCTGTAGCACCGCGCAAGAAGTCTCGTGACCAGCGCGCACATGCACAAGTTGTGACTCTGCGACAGACAGTTCAGTTTTGTTCGGGTGAGCCGGGCTTGCGGCTCGAGGAGAGAGCCTCTCTTGGAAGTGACTATTGTACATTTCGCCCGCGCGCGTGTCAAGCAGCAATCGTTTCTTACTCTGTGAGAGTGGAGGAGAGAATGTAAGGTGCAGGTGCTTCCATAGTCAGTGACACCGCTGAACATGCCACACGGGGAATGGACCCCGTATACGAGGAACCAGAGACTTCAAACGTGAGCGAGACAGACGAGGAACCAGAGACGTCTGACGTGAGCGAGACAGACGAGGAACCGAAGCTTCCCTCCGCTGTCCAAGACCTTATACGGCGTCTAGAAGGCAAACGCGAACCTATAACGTCGCTTCCCAATTTAAGCATGACTAAACTTCGGAAGTTCTTTCCGGATAGTGCAGCGCTGTCGACGATCACACGGTGGCGAAGCCAAGTGCGCCTTCGAGTGCTGGAGGCAATCGGAAACTGCAACACCTTGAAGTTTCTCGATGTGAGGGCTATTTGTGACGGAGATATATCGAGGTTGACGGCAAGCGAGTGGGAGATAGTTTTCAGAAAATTCATGTCTAGCACCAATCTACGATGTATATACGTTAAGTTAATCGAATGGAGTTCAGATGAGGAGGTGGAGAGCTTGTGTTTACAGCTGGGGGAATTCTGAATTCCTCTAGCGTAACAGAATTGACAATACACCATTTCAGTTTGAGTGCCAGATGTTGGTTGAATCTCGCCTCAGGACTGCGAGGAAATTCGAAATCTAAACTTCAGTCTTTAGAGTTATGGGAAGCGTGGGGGGACTCGAGTGCGGGGAAGCATGTTGCTGACATGATCAACAGTGCTCCTCTATTACAAACGTTAAGATTAACCAGCCGTTCGAAATTGGATGATGAGGCCGTTGGAATGCTGTCCCAGGCTTTGATCCGGAGCTCGTCTTTGAAAGAATTGAGGTTAAATGAGGTGGCGTGGGGAGCGGCCTTGTTGCTGAAAGCGTTGGCCGGAGATGATGGTAACCGATCCATTGAAATGATGGTAACCGATCCATTGAACGTGTTCACCTGTGGCAGATGGATGGACTCGGAGATGGCAGCAGCTCGGCGAAGTCATGCGTGACAATGCTATAGCAACAGACATTAGGGTAGAGTATCGGTGGGGAATTGATGAAGATAGTCGGAAGTCAACAGAAGCTCTTGCGTGTGCTGCTAGCTCTGATGTCAAGGATCCCACAGTGGAGCTTGCTTTCACACATTCCAGGGCCCATGATTATGGGTTACCACTAAATCTATTAGGTAGGGTACTGCGCGGAGAAATCAGAACTCTAAAATCTTTCTACATATTGCGGTATGGATATACCCGTAGCGACAAAGATACCCGTAGCAACGAAGATGGATTGGAAAGTATCCTGTCTATGAATGGAAACAGTGGAGAGACTTCAGTCCTGAAGAAACTGAGATTACAAGCTTTCAACAAAGATAACGTGAAGTCCGTGCTCCGGTGCTTGCGAGGGAACACAAATATCACTCACTTCTCTTTGTCTTCTTCCAATATTGGAGAGGACGCGTTCACGGACCTCATGGGGATACTGCGAGGGAACACAAGTCTCACTCACTTGGCTTGGCACTTGACAGGTTTTCGTAGGCCTAAGTTGGCCACCTGGAGAGAATTCCATAACCTCTACCACACTACCGGCAGTGCCTTTGGAATGAAAAGGGAAAAATATCTCTACTAATTGCAACGCAACGGTGAGAAGTCTGTGGAAGAGTAACCCAGGAAGACGCAAAAGTACACGTGGAGTCGATATATTCCGAAAAAACAAGATTTCCAGGCGGAAGTGCCTGGTAGTTTGGATAAGTCTATTTCTTTGCCACCTAGAATATATCAAATTGTTGCTCCCTCCCGTGTGGTAAAGAGGGAAGCCCATGTGCCAATAACAAGCAAGGATTCGCTGCCGCTGCCGGTCGTGTGGTTTGGCCCTCCAAGACCTGATGGGGCTCCTGCAAGGCAACTTGACTCTCCAGGAAATAGTTGTCAGAGGTCCCTGATGGGAAATTGGACGGAAAGGCCGCGCAGATTCAAGAGGCCCTCAAGCAGAACCAGAAGCGGGGCCGTGTACATGTCCGTCTTCAGAGAAGCCAAATTAGCATTTGGAGATGCACAAGCCGGTCGACTCTTCTTACGAGGCTCTCCTCTAGAAGGTAACGTGACTTGTACGTTTTTAGTTTTTTTCTCAATGTATGCAAACTAGGCATTGAAGGTTTTATTAAAGTCAAAAAGTTAAATATTTTTATCTACAAGTATTTGGAATTGTGCAAATATTTAAGAAAACTAGAAGGAAAAGAAAGCTAATATCCCAAATTTTTAGATTATAAATAAGACTTATTTTATTATTTCAAATTTTAATGTAAATTTTGGATTTTATTCCAATTCTATTTATCTATAAATATGATTAAATAATATGGTATCAAAGAATCTATAAAAACATCTGAAGTAAAAAATTGTATTTATTTTGATTCTCTTTATTCATTTGCAAGCAAGACTAAAGTGTGCCAATCCCTGATGAGTATAGTTAAAGGCAAAAGTTGGACAGGCAACAAAGTGAAGGAGTTGTGGATAACACAAGGAATTGAAGTAGAGTTCTTGCAAAACAATGACAAAAGTCAAATCTCAATATGGGATCTTGCGGGCATTTTCTGTACCCTTCAAAGTGTGCTCTTTCCTCAATCCAGCAATTTTTGTACTTTCCTATTTGTATATAACCCCTTTCCTGAAAATAAATTCAAGAAAAGAAGACTCTTATTTCCAGATTGAGTTGGAGGAATGGTTAAGTTTCATCAGATCAAGCACTAGGGTCACAAGACATAGTCTTCCACAAGTTCTTCTTGTGATTACACACAAAGATAAAGTTAGATACAACTCTTTGGAGTGGGCTCAAAACATAGTAAACACACTGACCAAAAGATTCGCAAATTTTGTGGATCTCCACCAAGAGTTTTTTTTATTTGGATGCCCGGAAGAGTAAGGAAGTTATTACTCTCCAAATTCACATGTTTGAAAACTTCAAAAATTTGTTGAGTAAAAAGTCCCCAAGGTTTACCCAATTGTGTTCACACCTCTCCTCCCTCTTGGTTACAAACACCAAGAAAAATAGATGTTGAGCTCTCTTGCCATCCAAAAACTTCAATTATTTTTGTGCTTCTAGTTTAACAGAATTCATTCCATCATCTTCAGCTCATTCAGTTGATCATGAAAGTATAATGAGCACAATCATATCATATTTGAATGACGTTGGATCCATCATTTCTATCTCCAACCTTGATTACATCATTGTAGATCCCAACTGACTTACTTATACATTAGTGAGTAAGCAGGTAAGCTCTGGGTCAAAACTTTCAACCTCAAAACTCCGGGTCCTTTGAAAGAAGCACATTCGCATGCAAGGACAGATCTATGATTCAGAGCTTTTTTGCTGGGTTGATGGAAGAGTTTATGGCAAAGAAACGACATGGACAAGGAGCTGTGAACACAAAGGTGCTTGAAGACATACTTATAAATTTAGATTTGTGTTTCAAGGTGGAAGACACTTCTCAATATCTCATTTCTTCCTTCGTACCTGAGCATGCAAGCACGGAAAAACAGACGTTTCAAGAATTGGCTTGGGAAACTAGAGCTAAGATTTCACAGTTTGTCGGCATCCGAATTCAATGCCAAGATGAATTCATAATGAAACTGACCGCTACTTTTTTCCCATGCTTCCAGGTGATTTCATATTTACTGTGAGAAGATTAAATGCGTCAAGTTCTGATTGTGACTTGTGGTCAGTGAATGGAGTGTTCCATTCAGTTTTTTGAATTTTGATTTCATACTTATTTCAAAGATGAATTCAATTTTTAAAATGCGCAGCTCAATATTTACCAAATTTTGTATCATTGTAGATGTTTATGAAACATAAGTTGATAACGAAGATGAATGTTTCTAAGAAGAATGTGACCTGCTCTCGACATTATCTTTGACTTTACCTTGATGGGTACGAGATCTATGTCAAGCAAGGAACGTCTCACAATAACGTGGATGTTCTGATGTTACGCTCGAAGCATAAATCAAGTTCGGAGGCTCTACAATACATGATGAAGCATATCGTCCAGGAGTTGATATCATTTTGTGCATCACCCAAAGGCTGTCCAGGGATGGTGTTAGTGCTCGGTGTGATCTAAACACGTTGCATGGAGATGCTGGTTCCAAGTGATCTCAGAAGAGCCATTTTGATCGAGGAGCTCAAATCAAACTTCATTCGTAACATCAATGATAAACTTGAGTATATTCCGTCGGATAGGTTGAACTTTGTGAAGGAGTAATAGTTGTTCAACTATGAGCACTCTTGGCCCTCGATTAACGGACACAAACCGGTAATATTCGAAAGACCTAGAGATTTGCTGTTAGGGAGCAATATGGATACGGTTGTAAATGAGATCCAACAGAATTGCATTCAACAATTGGAATCATTTCGGCAAGCAATAAATAGCGTGAGCAATGATTTGAATCAACCTTACACTGAAAGTGAGAACAGGATTGACAACTGGAGTTATTCAGATCAGTTTGATGGGGCCAACTTCGATAAGCTGGATGAGAGGTTGAGATCAATGGAGAGCGTGCTCCAACAGATACTCATTGTCCAACAAGAACTTCAGTCAACTTTGAGTTTCTTCATGTCTGAAATGCACAGGTTCATTCAGTATTCTCATTCGCTTCAGCTGGCAAAAACTCCCAAGCGACCTTATGTCACGACGGATGTTGGCGTTTTCTATAGGATGAAAGCAGCTCTGAATGCCGGGACAACCGTTCGCTTACACTTGATGTGTGAGTATGAGTATGGCTCTGGAATTCACATGGTCAAAGATCAAGAAGGTTTGATGATACACATGGATTGGGAGAATTGCGAGTGGATTCGGAAAACTATTGAAATTTCATGCAAAGTCATGTATTATGCTGTGAAGGCTGGACTGGATAAGACCCTCAATTTGGGCCAAGCAATTCCGGACTCAGAAGATTTCAAATCTGATATTGTTGAACTAAATTTTTGCAATCGTGATCGTAGGGCAGTTCTAAAAGGTGGGCAAAGCATGTGATTAGAGACACAACGTAGTTTTACGTTGAGGATGTTGCGGAGTCTTTGAAAAAGAGGATCAAGATGTAAGAATCCGAATGACTTCTTAGATACGTGACTGCAGCTAGGTAGCTTTTTGCGCTCCATATGTAATCTATGATGAATTTTACTCTGAACTGGATGGTCGGAATAATTCATGAGACAATCAAAACATTTTATTTGGTTTTTTTTCAACTGCTGTCAGAAGTAATTTAATGGCAGCTTGGTTGTCTTCTGCAAATTCTCTGAGCAAGGCAGTTCATTCAGAAGGGATTGATATCAAGGCTGTGGTAGAAGAAATCGATAAGTTCTTAGATGTGCTAACGTTGAGATCAGGTACAGAAAAGTCTTCCACAGAAGGCATTTTGGGACATTTTGCTCGCTGATCATGGAAATTCATGCAATGGGCTAGCCTTGTTACGTGGTGCATATCTGCTTAAACGGCAGCAGGCCTGTTTTTAGTGGCAAGATTGATGATGTGGTGAGGTTTGAACTGGTTAATAGTAAATCTCCAATCAATATCGAGGGATTCTTATGAAAAATATATTGTGTAAGTATTCCAGGTGGAACATCGAAAATATTTAATAAAAAGCTTTGGAGGTCAACATCGAATGATACACAATGGAGCCATGTTGACGATAACGTTTTCATTTTCGCGATGGAAAACATGTTCTATTATATTAACAGCTGGATCAAAATGTCAGAGAAATTTTGATGGTTAGAGATCAAATTTCAGCCGGTGAAGATATCTCTGAATTTCGTTAATCTTTAGGAAGTAGGAAAGTAAGATCCATTAGTGACGCGCTTTTGTGGACTCTGCTTGATGTTTGTTAGACATTATATGGTCGTGTATAGCTTGTCAGATTCACAGTGAAGGTGCGATACACAACCCTTTGCTCCTGGTTAACTTCGCTTGAAGGTCAGTTCTGATAAATCCGAGATCCTTTGAAAGAATGGCTGCTTGATGATGTGCAAAATTACATTAAATTTTGATTTCGATACAGGTGATAGACTCCCAATACCACGGAATATGCTGCGAATTATTCTTTCCCGCGTTCTAGCGTAAGAAACTCTACGTTTCTAAAAATCTGCAGGCAGCTACAAGTAAAATTGTTTCAGGCATGAAACAATTTTACCCTTCGTCGGAGACGAACGTCGTGTCGGCCAATGACAAATGGAGGAAGATACACAGCGACCCGGTTTACCTCATCAAACAGCAAGAGCTTGCAGCGTTAGAGAGAATCAGACAGAATCCAGTGAAATGGAAATGCTGGCGAACTAAGTGCGGCAGAAACTGAAACCTGGGAAGTACAAAGAGGAGGAGTACGACTATGATGCTGACAATGATGATGGTAAGCACAGAAAGAACAGCAAAAAGGATCACAAGAATTGAAAGAAGCGGGATAGAGATAACGTGAAGAAGTGTGAGAGAGATGTCAAGGAGAAGAAGAAAAATCGAAGCGACAAACACCGCAAGAGACGAGAGCGAGATGATTCAAGTGACTCACAATCGTCCAATTCAGAATCGGAGGCCAGACTTTCCAAGAGACGGGTGGAGGCCGAATCACAGGATCTACACTGAAGCTGGACCTGACAAACTATCGAAGATGTCCACCAGAGACGGGAGTCCCTATACGCGACGAAAGGAGGAACGACGTGAGAGAGAAGGTGATATGAATGATGATAGATTAGGAAGAGAAGCCGACGTGGGTGACAGATACAGAGATAACAACAGACAATCGGAGAGCAATTACGATCGGAATGACAAATCTAGGAAGTCTGAAATTGAACGGAAGTCTACTAGAGAGTATGACAGGGACTACAGGTCTTCAATTTATCATGAGATCGGGGATTATAAACAGAGGGAGGCTTTTGGTCGTGAAGAAAGGCATTCGAGGTCCCTCAGTGAGCATGACAGGACATATGAGAGGGACGATAGGCCACGAAAAGATTACGACGTGGATGATAGACATAAGAGAAGACTCAATTGAGCTGTTAGTAAATTCGTGTCAAGGAAGTAGTCAAAACAATGGCACCCGATTTTTTCAGCTGGCCCGAAACATGGAAATACAAACAAACAAACAAAAATACTGCCCAGAAGCTTACCTTGGAGAAGGAGACCTTGGAGTAGATGCTAAACGAGCAGCACGCTTGTTTAGCATCATCACCCTTTTATACATTGGCGAAAGAGGTGCTCTCAGCCCCACATGTGGGCGATCGCCTAACTGGAAGTTGAGAAGATTACATGTCTTCCCTCGGTCATCAGTCAATAATCCTCATTAATTACCAAAAGACAAAAGACGAGCGGGTCAATTCGCAGGACAAGACAAGCGCGACGGCTATGACGAGTAGTTTGGGCGGGCCGAGAGACAGCTGCGATATGTATGGGCATAGACATGACACACGAGATGAAACACCTCATGCTTCGAGTCTAGTAGGGGGGGAGGGGACGGGAGGCAGGGAGGGAGGTCCTGACCCAAGCGTGCATGGGTACAGTATGATGATCTACAGTAACCCCAGAAGTTTCCAGGCTCATATGTCAGGACTCTTCTGTCGCAGTCGTGTTTTCTTCCAGTGCAGGTCGAAATACACTACTAGTACTACAAAGTTAAAAGCCTTAAGACTTCGGACTCTTGCATCAGCCTTTCGTTCAACAGCAGAATGGGATGAGGCTTCGTTCTGGTGGTCTTAACTGTCAGCATGAAATTTGTTCCCACCTGCAACTCATTGACCTCTTCAAAATAGTTATATCGATTTGACTGAAGCTAGAGCACGTCAAATCAGGGATGTCTATTTACACATGACCACGTAGCATGGTCATGTTTTACTGAATGCCATTCTACGAGATCGCCGCTAGGTGTAAGCTGAACCGAATGAACACTTAGACGGACTCTCAACCTGAGACCTGATCTTCTTCTATCTGATCATCTAGTGGAGCGTGGCTAGTTTCAACTGAGCGTCTAAAAACCAGGAATGACCGCCGCACACTGCTCGAAGCCATTGTGCATGTCGTTCGTTGAAGTCATAGAACACTCAGAGGAGTTGAAGGTATTTCTAAGAAGCAAAGTATCAAAATTCCGAGTTGAATGTCTTGGCTGCTCATACGGTTACAAGAATATTTCAGAATGAATAGCAACACTCTCTCGGTCTTTGACCCTGATGTGGTGAGGCTCACGTTGTATCTGAGCAAGTACCGGATTCTTGCGGCCTTCCTTTCTGACAAAGCCTCTGTTTATTTGATGTGTTTAGGAAGGTGAAGTAGCACGATCCGTCCTCATCACGCCCGATGATGGGGGCAAATAACTAGGCCCGAAAACTTCTTGTTTTACCTGAGATTTCAAGGGAGATTTGCTTGCATGAATAAGGGTGAGAATCATCTTATCAAGTAACTCGAAAAATTTGCAGAATGGACGGTCTGTCCCCGGACAACGATTGCTCGCAGAGAAGGTTTGGACCTAGCGTGATGAGCAAATTTCTTTAAACAGGCAGGCAGCATCGAGTAAATGAAGTCTTTGCCCAGCCATTTCATGAAACCTGAACTGGACATTATGTCGGAACATGACGACAAACAAGCAAAATGGGAAATCATGCACTTGAACCCAGGTGGTGGTAACTGTAATTGGGTTCGGTGAAGAGATAGATGGACTCCTTGACGATCGATTGATGCCTTTTTCGATGAAGTTTTACATGAAAAGCACATAGAAGCATGGTAAATATTGTTGTGATCAGGTTCTAAGATCAAAATTGTGTAGACGAGGAGAATGTCAAATGAAAGTTTCATGGAGTAATCCATCTCTGCTTCTGTGTATGATAAAACTTCATCATGTGATGAAGCACATATATGATGAGATAGGAAGAAGTCGAAGCAAACGATACAGACATGCCTAATTATATATTGAATAAAGAATTTTTCAATACAAACATACAACATGAGTTTCAAACATTTCAATTTGTCATTCAATTTGCCGAGGTTCCCACCATAAACAAGGTTGTAATTCATGTTATTAGGAACAATGTAAACTGCAGCAGTGCATTGGATCGTCCAGAAGATGAAAGTTTCCTCAACATTAAAATGACAAGGCTAAGCTGCTCGGGAAGACGGGCATCGGCATCGGTATCTCAAATGGTGTGGAATGGGTTTCAACAAGAAATTCCCTCGTGGCTTGATACCTCAGTGTGAAAACAAAGCGGAAGAGACTTCCGACGGCGTAAAGATCACTACTTCCCTAACATCCAAACACTTTCACCAATTCACCTCTCATCTGGACAAGAACTGGAATAATAAAAAAATTCTCTGGTGCCCCCAGTTGCAATATATTCGTTCACAATATACGCTGCATGCGTTCCCACTGACAAAACGACGGTGACTACTTGAGCCCTTCCGACAATATTGCATTTTGAACTGAGTGAAAGAACGTTGACATCATAGATTATGATGTTGACCATATAGACGAAGCCAGTACCAGAGTCCAGAACTGCTGATAGCTAGCTAGCTGTGTAGTAATGGATGAAAATAATGACAAGCAAGACAGCCTCCAAGTGATTTGGCTAGGTCCTCTGCCTCATTCGTCGCCCATTGGCATCGGTACCATCCGAATGTTGACCCCATACACTTCTCTCTCTAATCCCTGTACCTACATCCTCGTCAACGCTCGCCACTTCTCTTAGAAGCTCTGATTGAAGGGTTGGACAACAGTTTTTCAAATACTCGAATCCATCTGAATGCATGAAGGCTGGAAAATCACCAATGGTTTTAGTCATCATCTGGAATAATATTAATGTAGTTAGACTCTGATCAACACATTATGCATACGCGTATTGCTTACCATGAAGCTTTGAGAAATGTTTTAATAAGTATGAGCTATATGTACATGCCATCGCTAATTTCGAATCCGGTTACGACCTCATAATCTCGAATTGTTTAACGAGAAACTTCTTATTACAGCTGCTACAACAGCTCTCCAACAAAAGTCTAACACGGCTGGCGTCTTGCACTATAGAGCACGACCCAAGAAGGAAAAATAACTCAGTGCTGCTAGAGTAAGTTGGGCCACATTTTTAATGATCAGTTATGTCACAATATAACAAATCAACCCAAGTAACTGATTGCTCTCAAATTTGTAGGATTTTATTCTTTTACAATAGACAGCAGGAGGTCAATCAATGATAACTTCTGGCATCCGTGATGACAAATAGCTCAAGGTTTTGACAAAAGATTGCACATGCGATACAGGCTTGATATTATTGCGGGGAACAGTCACCACGAACCATATGTATAGAAATTTACTTGAAACTACACGTTTTGACTAATCTCAAATTGACACTGGAAGGCAATCCATACTGCAATTACGAAATTATCCACAAAACACAAAGGAGAGAATTCCAACCGTGACCTAGAAAGAGAGCAGGCAATACCAAATATACCACTGGAAAGTACTGGAGGAATACTGATATCACTTAGTAGAACCCGTGGGCTGATGAAAGACCACAATATCACATTAACAACTGCAACGCATGAGCAAGATACGGTTAACAAGATGAGTTTCAACAGACCTGCAAGATTCGCTGCTGCATACTTGAGACAAATAGCTTTAAGCTGTGACGCATGATATTGTTCCGCGAGCGCGAGTGTAGTGGCCACGGTGTCTGTGCTGACCTCCTCGCACAGTTTAGATTCACAAAAAATGCGCAACCTATCCAGCCCGTATCGATTTGCAGCAGCTAACAGATGAAATGTCACCAAAGTCGAAGATGAAGAACATGAAGCCGTCAGCTTGTGAATGTCCGGCAATGAATCCGTGTAGATGAAGTTTAGCATCGCCTGTATTGAAGCACAACAGAGTAGAAATGCCAGAATCCTAAGAACGCTAAAAAAAAACTCTCCAATGAATCGCGTCCACATTGCAAATTGAGGAAGTTATCGAATGAGCGAGAACGATAAAAAAACACAATAAACTGTCTAATTTATGTGTATATAGCAAGATTTTACGAGTACGCCATACGACAGATAAAGGCAGACGGGACTATGAAAGGTTTATAATTTTTGCATGTACATAGAAGCCTTACTGTTGCAGATACCAACATGACTTCAAACATTGCACGAATTTTTTAAACACCTCATGGAGCGGCAATGCGGACAACTAGCAATAACCACGTTTCGATGAACGCAACGGACCAAGATCGAGTGCTGAGAGCGTATAGAATCCAAGTTGATGCTCATCAAATTCGACAGGTAAGTACTATATATGATAACTAGAATATATTCAAGCCCTTCACGAACCTTGAATACGGGAGCTTCAATATCTTCAATCTTTATTGTTCCAGCATTGTGATCACGCGTAGGCCCGTATAGTTGCACCTTGAACACTGGTGAGCGAGCAGCCAGCACCAACTTGTGTGCTTGATAAACCTCGCCATCAACTTCAAAAGTGACATCCGCGCCTTCTCCGCTATCTAATAAAGAACCGAAGTGAGTGCCTAGATCTGGCTCCGGAAGTGGGATAAAATACAAATTCGGACCCTGGGTAGATGACACAACAACACCCACAGTGCAGATTATAGCAAGGGTATCATTCTTCAGGAAATCAGACGTCTCTAGGACGGCCCGTCTGAAGAACCGCTTGTATCCCCTGCTAGCACAAAAAACAAACGGAGGAGAGGTCAGAAAATAGAGAACAAACCTAAATGACTTACAAAAATAAAATGTTTTCGATGTTGCTACTACTACTATCAATATAATCATTATACTCATTAACAGTAAGATGTGACTTCTTAAGAAACGGATAGAAATGAGACTACTTCTTTCAGGTGGTGCACACATGGAAAGGTTACAACCAACAAAGTTATTCCTCAAGTCCAGAAACTCTATTGAAGTTGAATTTTTCTGGATCGATGCTCCTCCAGCAGACAAGAAGAAAAAGGACAGGCGGAAGAATCTCAATAGAAACATTTTGACAAGGCAAAGGAGAATACATAAGTTAATAAAAGTCATCCAGGAGAATGAACTCAAAGCAAGTGACATAAAGTAGTGTAAGTAGGAATTAGGTTCATGGAAAGAAAGAACATGATACATACCACATACTTCCATGGTTCTTCAGTGTGTAGGGTCCATTCTCCAAATAGCGGTCAAAATGACTGTGCACCTTGTGCTTCGCATCTGTGCTTTGGTCCACCAAAGTTAGCTCGAAAAGAGCGCGTACGTCAGTGCCCTGACTGGCAAGAGCGATAAAAACCGAAACATACGAAGAATTATCCTCAACACTCTTTCCATCTGGATAGAAGTAGATAGCCCATTGATAACCGCCGACTGTGAAGCTTTCACTTGCAATATACTTCCCCACTCCCATTCCCTTGGCGAGAGAGTATCCATGAATTGTGAAGTGATGAGAACCGATCTTTGTTTCGGTCACGCAGCTAGATCGCGTGGGCGAGCTCCGTGCACACGCTCCGCCACTAGTACCATCCAAAGCCATCATGCTTCGAGCAGTCACCGGCTGTCAATTATCGCAACTGAAACATAATAACCTATCGCACCACATCCCCACAGCTACTTCGCATTCCTGTTATAACGCTAGGGAAGAAAATTTAGACCACGGAAACAATTTAAGAATGTTGAATCTCACTCAGTCCGGAAAGGTTGAACGGTTCAACTCTAACGTTAAACAAGAGGTTAAACTTTAACCTCTTCGACACTGAAAGGTGTTGTGTATTAAACCATAAAACCATATATTTAGACCTTGTGAATTTATAACCCTAATGCGTGTTCCAGTATTTAACCAAACTCGAAGTCCAAATTTCTGTCGCCATAAAAATCTCATTCTCTTGAAACTCAAGTCCGCTTCATTGTAACAGTCAAATCATGTTGAGCTATATCTAAGACTCAAGAGTTGAGCTATATCTAAGACTCAAGAGTTGAGAGAAATATAGCATGTGACAACAGAATTTGAAGTAGATCAATATTATTTTTTAACAAGATAAAATTTACCACTTGGGCTACATGGAACCGTAAGTTACAAACTTACAGGCTTATTACCCACACAAATGAACTGGCTCCAAGTTCTAGCATTTTACAATGCGTCACTGTGAAAGGAGGCCAAGAATCATGGTCCATGTATTTGCAGAATATGGACATCACAGAAGTCAAATCCTTTAGGACGAACTTTTGAGCGCCTAATTCGATTCAGTGATGGAATCCGATACCTTCTATCGTCGGTACAGATCGGGGAAGTCTATTTACATGTTATTTACATTTTATTTTATTTTGACCTTTGTCTCTTAAATTCTCTATCTTGTGTTTAGGAAGATGAAGTATCACGATCCCTCCTCCTGCTCCTCCTCAAGGCGAATAATCAAGCCAATTTACTAGGACTGAGAGCTCCCGGCTCTACCTGAGATATGAAGGGAAATTTGCTGGCGTGAATCTGGATGAATATCATCTTGTTCAGTAGTTCGAGATTTTTGCGGAATGAACGGTCTGTCCCCGACCAACGATTGCTCAGAGTGAGAGCCCTCGCAGTTCGTTGTAAAACATGACCGGACAGCTCACTGACAACATTCTACATTTTTATGGCCTTCTCAAAATCTTCGCCTATTTACCAGTGGCCACCCTTTGGAAGCCTCGGTTATTGCGCTGGTTAATGCAAGATAGCATGGGACTGCTTGAAGCGCTGTCACGTAAAAAAGGGTCGTGACAAGGATTGACTAATCTTCGCAGAAACTGAGTACTTTTGATCTGAGTATTAACAAATAGTACAGCATTCAAGACTGATATTTGGCTTTTCTCAACTTGGAACGAAATTTGCAACCAAATCCTATGGAGATCGCTAAACATGCTTATGCACTATGACTCCGAGAAATCTCATCTAGAATTTCAACCTGAATAAGAGATTGAATTTAAACGATACGAGCAACTAGACTAGAGGAAGAAAGAAAAGAAGAGACAAGCCGTCTCTTCTTTAGGGTCTGAAGATTATTCAGACCCGCAGAATTGTGCTTCTTAGACAAATTGTTCTTGCACAAATACAACGTCGGGCACATTTCTTTGGTTCGCGGAGGTTCGGCGGACTATAAACAAAGCCCTAGTTCAAGTTATCACGGAAATTGTAAACTGCAGCTATTCATTGTATCGCCATCAGAACCGAATTTTTTCTTTCAATCGTTTCTTTTCTGACTGGAATGTGCTTGTAAATGATTTCCATGCACAACTTCTTCAGGAATTCAGGAGTAGATATCAGATGCTATAGACGCAACTCGAGGCTGATTACAGCCATTATGACAGGTCATGGATGTAATTTATATATCAGTTTCTTACATTAATTTTTTATACCAAAAAAAATATTTTTTAATAATTTAATCATATTGTAGCAAACAATAGACTATCTTATTTTTTATTATCCAAATGAAGAGCTTTTACAAGTCATGGAAGGATTTAGAACATAGTGCAATGTCAAGTGCATTTTTTCTTAATGAACTTTCTGACGACATGTGAATTGAATGATCAAAGATTTTTTATTATCCTTTGATGAATAAACCAAATTTTCCCATTAACTTTAAAGTTATTTGCAATGAATATTGTTAACAAACACGTATGTGTTTTCTTGATATCTTAACCTAAATACAAGCATATTTCTTGAATCAACACTCAAGCTTATGTTTGATAATCTACAATTCAAGAGACCATATGCAATTTACTTAATGTCTTCAGTTGAATTAGACTTCTTCTATATATCTACGTCTGTGACATGTATGAATTAAGTGATCTTTGTAATTTGAATAGATTTGAACTGGACATAAGAACCTTGTTGCTATGGACAATCACGGAACTTAAATTTCTCGGTCTCGCGGTAACTCTACGGAAACACATGCTACAGCAGCTGTTGGAGCTTCTATACGTCTAGGTTTGTGACAAGTATGAAACAAGTGATCTGCGTATACCGAATGGATTTGAACTGTTTTCTCCATATAATCTGGTTAATTTTAGCTTGTATTTCGTGCAAAAGAACCTTGTTGCTATGGACAATCACGGAACTTAAATTTCTCGGTCTCGCGGTAACTCTCCGGAAACACATGCGACAGCAGCTGTTGAAGCTTAATCTTGGGACGATGTATGATATCTTTGAAAATAGGGTTCATGGAAGTATGTCGAAATTGTTTTAAAGTTCAGAAAAGTCGAGCAACGATGAAAGTCCACACACAAATCCTTTCCATGATCATAAGCAATTGGCGCAGAGATCGTTTCTACACTTCGCCAGACGGTTGTAGCTTCGAAAGCTAAATCATGGATGCCTCCGTCTTCGCCTTTGCACAAGAAGACAAGCTAGCTAAACGAAAGCAAGGGAGTACTTTGCGTGGATTTGACTTCTGAGAACCATTTTTTGCGCTAATCGGCTAGATCATGGAACTGCTTTCAACATGGAATGTAAGGAGCTGCTGTTAAGAAGCACATCAGAAAACCATGTACGAGGAATCTTTCCCAGAGTTTCACCGGACTGGTTTCCTGATACTCCTTCACTGACTGCCGTGATCCTGATGATTAGATTCTGTATTAGATTTCATAAGCCTGAGTTCTTATTCCTGATGTTTCAGTGGTCCAGTGTATAAAGAGTATCACCATACTGAAGACCCGCGTGTTCGATGGACAACTGTTTCTCGCTGATCTCTCGTTTAGGCGAAAGTAAGTCAATATAGTCTGAAGTTCGCAGAGAGGATTTTGACGCCGAAGGAACAACAGACTCTCATACGAAACGAGTCGAGATCGCACAAATGTCAATGGCAGTTGAAAATAATGTCCAAGTCACTTTCTCTTCATCATATAATCCAGCAAAAAAACATCTCTGATCCAGAAGCCATGCAGCGAATGCAGCTCAAAGTGTTGTGCTGCTTGTCTACACCGAAAAGAATATCCTGGTTTTCCTTGTAAAAGTACTTTTTCCATGCTCACTAGACTTTGGACTTGCAGAAATACAATTGCCCCATAAGCCATTAGCTGGTTGGCCATGAGCGCTGTGATCTCTGCTCTTCGAAAGCAATTATGATCCAGATCCTTGTCTTTTAAATTAGTGTTGTGATACATTGATTGTGTCTACACACTACTACACCATGTCCTGCCTCCATGAAACGCATAAGCCTAGACTTAAATCATGTTGCTTAATAGAAGATTCGGTCAATTGATTCAGTTCAACTCCGATCAGATTCATTCATTCACCACATTTTCAAAATACAGAGCAAGCTTGATGGGAAGGATCTTATGCTACACCATAGTAGACGGCACAATTCTCGTAGGAATCAACGCTCTCGTAGACCACCATATGGCGAGAGGAAAGAAGTCAGAATGTTTAGGGACGGGTAAACATTCGAACTGACAGATAGAAAGTGGAAGATTCCCGGATTTCCTGGTGGACTGTTCAGAGTGAGGAATTTTCGAATTCTCTGCAAAATTGAGGACCTGAGAAGATTTTTAAGAGAACTGGTGATAAGGTGAGACAGAGCAAAGAGAAGAAGTCTACAGTTCAGGGACGGCAAGTGTTACCTTCAAGGTGGATTTACTCGATCTGAAGAACCTCTAGTGAGAGCTTCTGTACACCTGCTCCCTCGTTTGACGGAGGAGTGTAGACCCTGTCAGATTCGATGAATCATGATAAGATTCACGAAGTGCGGGTGAAGATAAGGAGCGCTCTGTTTATGGTTCATGGACTGTCAGATGAACTCGGTCTCTTCGTTACCACCTGTCAAAAGGGAATTTGGCGACATTCCGTTTTTTTCAGGGGATGCTGCAGAAAGCGTGAAGAGCATTTTCTCTTGAATTCAGCTGCCTCTTAGGCCGAGGGGATACCAGCCATGAAATTTATTCGGTGCGGGCGATGCTCGCAGGGATACTTTGTGACTTTGCGCGTCGATCGGTGAGAAGGCTCCGGAGCTGATCTCAGGCGTGATCGTTCGTAATTATCTTCTTAAAACCTGTTCAGAGATTGAAGCACTGACGGCACACTGAAGAATCAGATAGACTGGTGCTTGTTCGACTTGTGTGGAGCAAAGGATTGACGGGAGGAAATTTTGGAGGGCATGACTCGTGATGCGTAGGTCCTTCCTCCTCCCGGCATTCATTTCTTCCTGGCACTTCACTTGGTGTGGGAGTGAGCTTTCAGGAATTTCTGATCCGTATCGTATGCCGAATCTTTCGTTGGGGAAAATCAATCGATTGGCTTCGGAATACATTTTCGAGATTCTTCTCGCCTAAGAGTAAAAGCTTTGAAATGGTGAAGGTTGCGGGTGAGCGGGAGACATACCAGCGACGTCCAGCGCGGGCTTAGGGTGGATGGGGACCGTCGGTATAATGTTGATCACTCAAACAGCAATCAGTTTTTGATGATCCAACATCAGCGGTGACAAGATTCGAGGATCCTTTTGGTCCACAATTTCTCAGTTTGTCGACACTGTAAACATGACTATGGGTGGGGTTTCTGAAGATAGGGGAGGAAATTCCAGTTGGACGGTGAAACTCTCGCGCAGAAATGAAGATGGTACGGAAGGTGCATATGAGCAGATCGTAGGAGCTGCAGAGAAGGAGCAGGACGCAGTGGATGCAATCCCTTCCAGGCAGTGGTTTGTGATACCCGTGGTAATATTTGCTACGGTGGCCATTTCAGCAGCTGGCGCGGTGAGTTCATGAAGAATCGGTCAGCGAAAGAGTCTGCCGTAAATTGGGCATAGTTCAACTCATGCACAAGGCTTGGGGTCTGAGATTTTAAAGAAACCAGAGAGAACTGCAATTTACTGTGCTGAGAATGGCTGAAGCAGAGTAGGGTTTCAACATCTCTGGAGAGATCTCACTTTTCTGGTGTGTACATTGTGCAGCTGACGAAATTGATGACGAACGCTGCACCGATTTCTCAAGCAGCGTGGCGGCTTCAGCTCACCTCCTTGGTCTTGCTACCCGGTTTCATATGGCAATGTTGCCGCATGACAGACAGAGAACGTCAACGAACTTTACACTGGACCAATGTTGGAGTGATTCTTCTCAGTGCCATTTCGCTTGCCTTTCACTTCGGTCTGTGGGTAGGGTCCTCTTCTTCCCTGTCATAGCACTACAAAAATTCATGTCCTAGTGTTGATCTTGCAACCCGTTTCGGAGTACATGAACTTTTGTGAAGCCATTGGTCCATACATCGCCAACTTCGCCCAGGCTTCGGACTTCAGTGGCTTATATACACATGGAGGGTTGGTTCTAGGGTTTCAATGTAAAGAATTTGATCACCGACATTGATCCTGCGAGAATTCGTGCTAGCTGAACTTTGGAAGCTATTGTTCTTCGAATTTCAGTACAGTCGGAAGGATTTGGCAGATCCATTGAATTGATGACCGGACCTCTTAATAAGGTTCGGAAATGATAGGAGATGCCTAAGGCTGCATGAGGTCGTAAATCCTTCAGTATTAGTTCCACACGGCAGTGATCAAGTTCGAGTTGTAGATAGTTGTACAGGGGAAGGAGATCTCTGAGCAAAACGAAGATGGGAACAACGCCAGAGCAACACCAGAATCAATCACCAAGTTAGGTTAGGATTAATATGAAAGGACTGACTGTTCAGGAATCTTTGTTATGCTGCAGATTTGGTCATTAGACCACACATCGTTGCCACATAGTTTGCTGCTCGTATCAATGCCTCCAGTCATAGTAGCAGCATTTGAGTGCTTGCAAGGAAAATATTTATCGAGAGGAGAAACAATTGGAGTGGCCCTTGGAGTTGGAGGCGCGATTGTTATAGCAGCTGGGTCTAAAGTGGAAATGGATGTGGAGGTTAGCATGCTCGGAGACTTGGCAGCATTTATGGGTGCTGTAGCTTTTGTTGCCTACATAAGCGCTGGAAAACATCTTCGAGGTGAGTTCTTCTATGATGAATCAATGTAAACATCTCTGAAGACAGAGTACATTATCATGCTGCAAATGTGAAATCAGCGGAAGTTGAATCAGCACCATCCTTGATAATGGCTGTTTTCTAACGCCGAGTATACCGATTCGATGCAGGCCTACGTTGGATGTGTTGCTGTACTAACTTTCACTTTTGTTATGCAATATCTGGTGGCTATTGAATAATTTCAAAAAGACTTTAGAGCAGTTGATCTCCCCTCACACTTCTGAAACATGTGGAGCACACAGGGTGGATGCCCCTTTACGTGTACGCTTTTCCAGTAACAGCTGGTGCAGCAAGCATCCTCACATTGGCCGGGATGAGTTTGGAAGGACTGCATCACTCGCCCTCTGGTGAAATCAGTGGGCCTTTCGGATGGCTTAGAAAAGGTGTGTCTCTGCCCCCACACCATGGCATGAAACTCTGAAGGTAGTCTGTACGGTTTCTGAGAATATGTATCTCTTTCAGCTGGGATAGAAAAGGCATTTATTTCTGACTCCAGATTCTCAAATGGATACTGCATGTTCTTGTTCGGCTGTCGCAGAGTACGTGCTGCTGAATCTGATGTTAGCTTTAGGGCCCGGCTTCGTTGGACACACAGGATTCAACGCTGTCCTGCGCCACTGTACCGCTCTGCTAGTGGCCATGGCCACGACAGTCGAGCCTCTACTAGGATCTGTCATCGCCTGGGCTCTAAACGTTTCGAGTGTCCCTGGGTATACGTGACGCTCCCGATCGAAATCAGCAGTGAGGAGAGGAAACTGTAAACTAGTTCTGTTCGTTGCTGTAAATGACATAAGCATAAAATCAATAATATATACAGACCTGGAATCGGACTTGAATTGACTTGAGATAATTAGGCAGTCCCTGCATAGTTGTTGAATCTGGATGTATCTGGAGGATTTGACAAACCTGAAAGTGAATTTTGCAGTCTGTGGACGTGCATAGGAGGCACGGTGATGCTGTTGGGAACGTTGTGGGTGAGCTATGCCTCGGAACAAGAAAGTAAGGTGGGAACAGAAGCAAAATTTGGCAACCTTCCCCTCCTTGACCAGCCAGCTGTTTTTCGTTTTGGTCTTTCGAAAGCTAGGAATTCATTTGTGTATCATGTTGGGCGCTCAGCGCCCAGCCGTGCACGATTTGGGCGGAAGGAAATTTCAGGACGTGGTTGCTCATCAACATTCTCTTCTTGCTGTCACCTCCAGGTGACCAAATAGCCAGTTTCTGTCATGCTGTCCTCATCCTCGAGAATGAGTATATTGTTTTCCATGCTTTGTGGTGTATACAGTCAGGACAGGATGAAGTCAATCGCGAGGAACACGCAGAGCTCGGAGGGGCTGACGGCCTGGCAAGTGAACAAGATGGCTTAGAAGCAGAACAAGCCAGAGAGAGGAGAAGAAATTTATTGCGATCGTCCGAACGGCCTTGACAGAATCTGGTTACCCTTCGTAGCATGAAGAGTAGGTAACTCCAGCCACTTTTGTTAGTACCTGCAGAGTCCAGTAGGGCCGCATCCACCCTGCTTGAATTCCAAAGCCCTCGGGACACAAGCTGCCTAGTAGTGCTGAAGTGGACACAGGATTCTCGTTTTGTAAAGTTGCTTACGATCTCCTGACCCTCTTCGGCCCTTGCCCAAGCTCCAGCTGACTTTGTGTCATCTGACCTGTACCAGTATAAAATTGACCGCTTGCAGTACCAGCCTATGCTCAGCTCAGTCGAGCGAAAGACGAAGGTTGGCGACCAAGTTGTCGTCCAGCAATGACATTTTCTTCAGTCCTTGCTGCTGCTGCTGCTGCTCCTGGCGGGCGGACGGACTGCCGGCGTGGTAGCCAGACAGCTGAGAAGTTGTTGACATGCAATCAACCCAACTGGGCTAAGTCAACTCCAGAGAAAAGACCACATCCCTAGGAGGAGAAGCCAAGGAGTGATGTGGACCGCATCTGGGTTGGGGATCACTGGCTCCGCGTCCGGTGCAATAAGGTTGTTGTCGCCCGCTGTTGTAAAACCTCGGCAAATTAATGTGACGAGTACGGTGCTGTCAGCGAGGTTTTGACTAGTGAACCTTTGGCTTTGGCCCATGGCCGACGTACGTCCGTAGTTGAACCTAAGCTCAGTCGAGCTGAGCACTTGCTTTTCGGTATCTAGTGTAAGATACGTGAGCAGGAGCGTACCAGTCACTTCACTCTGGCTGCAGTACGTGTTGAGTAGATTGTTGCGCACGTCAGGATTCGGGCGTACTGGGAGTCCTGCCTGGTCATGGTTTTTGATTTCATACCAATCTTCGGAAGGCAAGAAGGACTACATACGTCTGCAGTTCGCTATGTATGGGATCTGCAGGTGGATGTGATGCGACGTGAGGTGCAGAATAGTGTTATTTTAATGGTGGTGAATTTGCGCCCGAGCATAATTTTCGGACTTGAAAATAATACCCCGGAATACTACATTCCCTCCCGTGTGGACAGCTTTACGACGGTGCAAGTGATTGCATATCCATGTTCGGATACACACGGCCTTGTGCTGACGGGAAGAAACCTTTGGGCTATAATGTGTTCCATGTGCGGAGTCGATGGCCGCAGCATTTCAATCATGAGCATCTTAAATCCTAGCATCTTATGGAGCAATTAGCGCGTAAAACATTCTCTTCCATTGCATTGAAGAGAAAAGAATGGGGATTACAAACACACCTTACAATGATCCCGGGAATTATAGGTATCCAAATAACCTAGGCAGAGGGTGTCAGGTAAGAGTTGGCGTACGTCCTGCACCCAGGAGAAACTAAAAGGACACGATCTCACGTACAGAGAGGATAAGCAACACAGAGAGGAGGAAAAAGTGAAGAGGACCAAACTCTGAAGATGGCATTTGAAGACAGGTGACAGTAATCTTGTAGTGTTGATGACCTGATATCTATCGGATCTTTCGAGCGGTCATTTTGCCAGGAGTGCCCTCTCGGTCAGAAAGACGAGCCAGTGAGCAGTCAGTGTGAATTACTTAAGTAGGCAAGTACTACTACTACGAAACCTTCGGAATGCCTAGGACCTCTTATTGGGTGGACGGTTTTAGTTGGTTGGAATTGTACTCGAGTGCATAACAGAACATTCGAGCCAGGAAAGTAATGAATGAACCTTACCCGATCTTAAATGTCGTCTAAGACTGACTTAACTGACTGACTCTGCATGGTTCTGGCCTGTCATTCAGAGTTTGAAAGAACTGTACTCTCTGTTCAACTCTGATTCAATAAAGTTTCGAGGATGACCAGTGATTCGCCAGACTGAAGTTGCTACTGTGGGTACGGTAGTGTTTTAAAGGAACACACATGAACAGCTGCCATGTAGGACATACTGCACATGCCTTCTGCCTCGGAATGTGGAAGAGGATCTTGACTCTTTCGATAGAGGAGGGATATAAGCCACGAAGTCAGTACTCCTAGAGACTAATACCTATCCTGTCCATGGTATCTGCACAAATTAAGACTCTGCTGCGAGGAAGTCCTCACATTCACATAAGACCATCGAGGGTGTAGGAGGTTAGTGAGTCGGAAACTTAGGAGTTGCTCTTCGCCATTCAGAAGACCTATCACGGTGAGAAGTATCATGGCAAAAATAGGTGACTAATAAACGGAGGGAGACGTACAGGTATGACGCTGGAATTTCACGTGAGCAGGACGATGATAAGTAATAGAGTTTGAGTCGGAAAAACGAGCAACCGGAATTAAGGCACCAAGTTTATTCATGAGCATGATGGCAGAAGAAGACATCTGAAGGAGCTCGAAAGAGGTGACATGTCACGAGTCCTAGGAAGAGCAACCGACTCCCGGATGTCAATATCCTCCAGGAAAAGGTCGAGACTGATATATAACCAGGGTGCATAAATGAATGAATACACCCACGTTCCAGCAACGACTGCAGAATCTCATTTACTTCTCATGCCGTCACATTCAAAGAAAAGGGGCATCTTCCTCACGAGTTCTGAGAATGCAACACGGCTTTGTACAAGTGCGAAGAGGTATAGTAGTTCAACAATACAGGACGCAAAAGATGACGGTTCTTGCACGCTTAAAGGGCATTAGTACATCAAACATCCGTTCTAGTGTTCAATGAGCCTCTGCACTTTCAGAATTGTACAAAAAAACATCCGTTGTAGTTGATCCACACGTTGTTTGAAACAAGTCTAACATCAAATGAGCTTCACTTGCCAATCTGCACGTGATGAGGTCACAGGTTCGCTTAACATTGTCAACAAACCCGTACGCTCTCTATTCGTGTAGCTGTATTCAAGAGAGGACATTCCCACATTTGACGAACAAGGAATATTTCATACTAAATTACACTCACAGAGCACACACGAATACATCACGACGCATTGCAGAGGTCTAATTATCAAGGCACTGAAGCTGTGTGACACAACTGCACAGATGGAATTGCACGATGTTGGCCAGCACTCCTTACGCACGAACCATGAGGGACTGGACCACATACGATTTCAGTGGATGCTGCTTTCGAGATGATTCCATACCTCGGAGAGGATCTTGAAACTCCCAACAAACAGGTGAGCATACAACAGAGAATCGAATGAAACACAGCTCAAAAAGCACGAGTACAGGATAAACCGCAAGCGCCTGGATGGACATGGAGTGGAAGAAACCGAGACTGTGGGAACCAACCCATCGAGAGCAAGCTTACTCTGATGGTGAGAGATTCTAACAACGGCTCTTTTAACTGATTTAACTTCTCATTTCTTAGGTGTCTCTTACAAATGATTGTACCCATACAGATAATATAGGGTAGGTAAAACATCACCACCTACATAAAGACAATCATAACTCCTTTACACATAAACTTGTGCTAACTAAAGGCTCTTACTTTCGCAAAATTGACTCCTCTTGCAAGTATGGACAATGATAAACCATAAACTTCCATTCAAACAGAGACTGGTTCACATGTACAGCAAGAATAGCATCTGGCTGCTGGCTTACCCTTTGGATGATTCACAACCCCTAGACATTCTTGAAGGCTCAGAGGATGATTGATGGCTGCCGTGAAAGTTGACATTGATCAGCTTCACTGAATGCACATCAATGCGTGCTGGATGAGATAGCTTGGAGCGTGCTTGGAAGATCATGATAGGGTAGAAGGGCTACATGCTGCAGCCCAGGGGCACTAGTATTATTTGCTAAATAAGAAAAAGAATTGCATTTGCGGCCAACGGTAGGCCGGGGAGGGGGACGGGGGTGGAAGGGGAAAGATTTTAATCATAACTGTGACACGATCGACCCTAACAAATACTTTTGACAGCATACCGAGGCAAATTTTAGTTTCCTTGTTACATTTTCTTGACAAATGGAGGCTGCAATGCTGCCACCATTTGTTAAGAAAGTGGGAACTTCAAACAGTTTCTTCTTTAGTTCATGGATGTCCAATACCGCTCCTTCACGTCTGGAGTAGCCACGCTGCTAGGGGAAGGTACGGTGTAGTCGGTAGAAGCTGAAGTTTGAGAAGAGAGTGCCCCTGAGCCTGTGCTCCTGTCGTTGTTCGGTGGAAATCCAGCCACCATAACAGCAGCGACGGCATTCTCATGACAGCGGTAGCGCATGATTTCTTGCCGAACAGCATTGAGTTCGGCCTGTAATGACTGTGCCTGCTGTTGCAATGCAGAAATGGCCCCCATGCAGCCATACACAGGGTCACGAATGCGAGCATTTGCCTCGTACACCAGACTGCTTGCGGCATCGGCCCTCTGGCTCTCTGGTACTTCCTGCCACCACCATGACCCCAACCATAGAATCCGACTCAGTTAGCTCCCTCTCGACGCCTTTCTTTCTTTCTCTCACTCCCTCCCTCCCTCACTCAAAACTCACTCACTCACTCGGTCCATCGGACCGCCTCGCCTGCAACGCCCCAAAGAAAGCGACCGAGTGGCGCGCGGCCAGGCAACGTTCAATTCGACCGCCATCCGCCGCCGACTCGGCCGCGCACACCTCACGCGCGCTCGGCCATCAGGCCTCCCGTTCAAAATCAGTCTAACGGATACTGCACAGCGAATCGCAATCGGAACTGGAGCGTCGCGCCGGCGCCTAGACGAGGAGCGCTGACGTGATCTCCATCCGTCCCGCTCCCGGTCTCCAGCGCGCACTCACTCACTCACATCGCAGGTCCGGGCCACGGATCCTCGACACGGGCAGGTCGACATTGTGCAATGCGCTCGACGTATCGATTTCCAGATCCGACTCTCGGTCGAGCGTCCGTCCGGCGGAGACGGGCCGCTCGTCCGCCCGTCGTCCTGAATCCCGATTTTACTCGCACCGTCCCGTGGTCGCGTCGAGGTCGCGTCGCCGGCCTGGGCCTGGCTTCGGCGATCGAGCCGAGTCGCCGCGCTTGCGTCGGCCTGCCTGCGAGCGAAAGCACGACCTTCCCCTTCCCGTTCGCCTTCCCCGCCCCAAGGACCGCCGAGTCATGGGATAATTTGCCCCTCGCGGCCGCGTGGGGCGGGACTCGGCATTCGACAGACCTGCGCCGGCGTGCGCGTCTGTGCGTACCGGAAGCCTGGAATGGCGAATTGGGCTTTAGGGATGGCTGTGCTGCCCTCCGGGTATTGATTGCATGGCACACTGCGCATAATACAGGTCGTGCAGGTGGACTTGCTCAGCTGCGCGGGCCGGTCCCTGACAATTTGAAATGGTCCCCATTCGCGGGGCAATTATTCTTGCGTCTAGACATCGTCCTCCTGAGGGGAGGTACGAGGATTTGCGTGGGATCCGTTCTGCAGACGGAACCTCAGGTGCGTCCATGAATGGTGACTGCGGTTGGGATTGGAGCGAGGGCAGAGGGGACTCACCATCAGCATTTTTGATACATTGCTCGCACCGAAGATCTTGTGGACACAAGCGAATTTCTGGGGCTCGTGCGGGGAGAAGTACGGCGAGAACGGGCATTCTTGCGCGCACCGGCGCCGCAGCAGCTTGCACGCAGCACATGGTGTGGACGAGTTGCCTTGCCCTTGTGGTCCCAGCATGGCTCGGCGAACAACTTTCTCCGGTTCCGCTCGTCGGATTTTCCGCGAGTTGCTATCTAGTAATCCAAATGTTTCCCTGCACCAGACACCCCACCGTGAGCCCGACCACATATGCAAGACATCTTTCGCCGCTCATGATGATTCGGCTCTGAGCCTGCTCGTCGACTGTGTCAAAATCGACGCAATCTCGAGCGCTAGGGTTTTGTAATCTTGGCAATGTTTTTCGGATGAGTATGACAGACGATGCAATTGTGATCCATAGACTGGGTCGTGGATTTTGGGCGGTGCCCAAAAAGGCAGCTTGGCAAGTTTCGAGGTTTGACTCTTTCGGAAAGATTCAGTCTCGGGAAGGGTACTATGCCGGCACGATATCTGCATAACCCTAGTGGGAAACACAACGGGAGGAACTGCGAGCTGGGCGACAAGAATCACATAACACCGTAGAGGCATCTCAAGAATATCAGTCTACCTCTCCACAGATTCACTCGCATCTACCAATCCGGTGCGATGAAGCCGCTTGGCTGAGAGAAAACTCATTGAGAAATGACATATTTCGGGTCTACATACTCGCAAATCGGGTAGTGCGAAGGAAGGTAAGAATCTTGGAGGAGAGGTTTAGGAAATCTATGAATTGTTTGCTGGAAGGACATCGTTGATGACTACCTCTGGGCTTTGAACTGCACTGCAGGAAATAAAAGGAGCGATGTGAGTGAAACATATGGCTTCCAGGAAAAGTGAAGTAGCGTGTTATTCTGACTTGACAAAGTGAAATGAATCGTTCGAGCACAATCATCTATGCGCATGCGGAGAGCTGAAATGGTCAATGCAAAGTGGAGTACAAGCGTGCAAGGGCCACCTGCCACTTGCAGCCTGTCCCCGAGACAACCAAGATTCTACCACTGGAGTGCAGCTTTAGAACTGTTCATGATGTTGTACCTCTCTTTTGACATTCAAACATGGGCTCCCTGTGTCCTCCCACCAGCTTCTCAAGGGTAGCGTTCCTGCCATCAAATAGAAGACTGTGTGTCGGGTCAACTGAGTTTCGGCCCTATACCGAAAACTACTGGCTTTCTCATCGAGAAGCTTTTAGGTCACTGCTCAGATCTTTCACAAACTGCTCACATTGACGAAACAGTGACTCTCATTGGGTCCGCTGCCAGGCATACACTGGCAGAAGTCAGGTACAAGGTGCTTCAGTGCATCTGCCCAGGTCGTTGACAAAAACCTTCAGCTCGACTGCTATATCGCGTATCCAACTCTCAAATGCAGACATAACCTGGGTAAATCGTAAGGTTAAGAACTGTAACTACTGCAAATTACCGCGAGTACGACAATTAGCCCTTTCTCCATACATGCTCGGGCCGTAGACTCTACCAGTAGACATTGGTTACCCCTTTCCAAACACCTTATCAGTCTCCGTCTAATTTTAACTGCCGACTCGACGTCAAACTCAACGTGGAACACTGGTAAACGGGCTCGAAGAGAGCACTTTAATTTCCTCGAGGAATGACAATAAATTTGCTATTTATCTCATCTTCCATCGCCCCACTCCCGTAGTCTGCTAACCTATCCACTGCACAATCCTAAAGATATACTCATGTGACTGAAGACAAAGCGAGCATCAACCACCAGCAATTAACGACCATTCGACTTTGTCAACTCTAGGATTCTCCGCTCACCGAATACGTACCAGTCACTAACCTCTCCGAGAAGAGGCTTCAGGACATCGCCACCACCCAGCAGCAAATGTCGATTCTCTTGCTCACAGCGAGATCGATTAAACCGTCCTTCACCTGCATGAAATGTGCGTCGCATTTGTCAGCGGATGACACACGGAGCTGGGCAAAGTTTGGGATGTCACTAAAGTGATTCTGCATTCCACAAATTGGTGTCAGATCCAATTGTATCGAGGGGAGGCATGGAATCCTGGACACGCATTAGTTCAAGATTTCGTCCGCTGTGATGTCGATCCATGGGCCGGAATGGGGAAAGTCTCGCGTTACGTGATCTACTCGGGCAGCCTTTCTCCGGGCCAAAGAGCTCGCAGGTTTCAGCATCGGGCTCTTAGCAGCCTTCTCACGGGTTGCACGTCCACGTGTGAGGTCCAACAGAGAGCAGTCTCCTGTAGCTCGCACCAGTGGGGAGCTGGTTCAACAAGCGAAGTACACATTCCTGACCTTCGCAAGCCCTTCGTGTGGGCGGGTAATAAACAGAATGACGGCGCTGGAAATGTCAAAGACTTCCAAAGCTCAAGGTCTGCAACTGAATTACAGTGGGTTCGCAGCAGTGGAATTTCGAGCTGCAATGCTGTGCATCACCCTCGGGCACAAATGACAGTCGTCGTTAGAAACTTCGCAGACCAATTCTCAGATTCCGCATCTGGCGTGCAGCAAAAATGAGGAAGACGAACAACCCACATAACGTCGTGAGGTTCGCTGCTAAAAGGTGAAACCCCAGCGTTCAAGAGTCACAGGTACCAGCAGGAGTCGAGGAAGGGATCTCTATCGACCACTCAATAGAGCTCGTACGATGAGCCGCGTACATTTGGTGCACCAATGATGTACGGTTGACGTTACGAACGGATCTTATTCGGACCTGAAAATCCATGCACCGACTTCGATAGATTTCCACTGTGAGCATTTCCGATCAGCTTACAGGAGCTGCGACAACAAACATCCCTTGCAAAACGCTCGTGCCCAATTATGATCACAGAGATGGATGGGTAGCGAGTGGGCGAGGTGATTGAATCAGATCATCTCCCACGTTCTCAGTCGCTAATGAAAGTAAGGGGATTGTAGTCCAGACAGGCCCATCAAAAGAAATGGTCGCTCTCGCTCACTGCTTCATGGGTTTGCGCCACGACGAGCAACTCAGATCAAATCCCCAGCCACAGACACGATGAGATCGAGAGAGGACAAAGTGTGCTCCGCACTACCTTATCTAAGAAAAAAATGATCTGGCCCGCGGCACCCCACTTTAGACAGGAATTGTACGGCACAAGATGGTAATGAGGGCTGGATAGTCATGATGCAAGTCGGAGCAATTCATGGCTGCTATGCTCGAAAGAGCTCCCAAAGAGCTTAGCGAGGTAACTGGAACCCGACCGCAGGCAACATATTTAGGACATACGGAAAACCTTATAAAGATTGGAAACAAGACTGCGACCATCCTAGACAAAGCCTTCACCGGTTTCCGTATTTATCAAGTAAGACGACTCTGAATCGTAATCGCCCTCCTTCCTTGACAGCGAAAAAGCAATCCTCAACGAGAGGACCCCCACCGCTACGCATAGCCAGTCCTAACGAAATACAAAGTTTCCGCGCCCCGTCGCACAGACGCTCCTCGAGAACCGATCCTCGGGAGCACGAAGGCCACAACAATCTCACGGATCCTCGCCCACAGGACAAACCTTCAGATTCCTGGGTACCAGTTCGGTCCCAACTTCATTCGATTATAGCACCCGCGTTGCTGGAGCAGAAGCGTCAGTTGGCGTGCTCGGCGTTCCTGCGAGGGAACAATCCAGAAGTTGCAGCATTGCCATAATTACAACCTCGGGTTGAAGTACCTTAGGAGAGACATGTTGTGGCTGGCCGAATGTGTCCATTGGAATTACTTTGTAACATCCAAGTTTTCGCAGATCATGGATCTACGGAACCCATCCCGTTCAAAGGTTTGGCCCGTGACAGTCGCATTGAAGCGGCTCTCCTACAAGTTTCAAAATCCAGACGAGGACACTCGAGCACGCCGCTGGGGAGCAGGAAAGTGAGGCACGGAATTTTTCAAGACACGCTTGATCGGTGCAACCAGCAGCCGCTCTACGGGGATAGGGTTGCGCAGTCCACTTGACCAAGAAGGAGGTGAGGTGTGTCCGGGGATGAGGACGCCGGCGATTAACAGGTTTCCACGACAGTCTTGAGGTGAAAGGAAAATTTGGCGGATCCCACGAGCGCAAGCGTCAAAATCTTTCGTCGTCGGTGTTCAGGAAAAGGGTTTGATGTTACTGCTTATGGATGTAGTTTTGGAAGTGGAGGAAACATGGGCTTCATATTTCAGCGTTCCTTACCATTCTTGAGATGACAGACCGAGAGAGTTGATTGGTGACCTACCTCAAACTAAAACCGTTACTCGATGAAGAAGATGGTGGTATCGTCAAATGGTCATTGCACAAACTTGACAAAATTCCTGGTTCTCCCGGAAAGTCATGCACTCCTCAGCTCCTCTCGATCTACCGAGCTCGAGCTGCAAGTGTCGAGTGCGCTCGTGGGACTCACAGATCAGCAGGCCGCGCACGCAGTCACCGGTAACTTAACAGGGCAAGTCCAAGACTGATCTGGTTCACGGACACGGACACGAGAGTCGGACTTCAGATGAGCTAACAGGAAAAGGTGGGCGAGATGAGCGACTGAGTAAGACAACACACTTCACAATGATAGCGACAACTGCAACCTTCACTATCACCACAAATTTCAGACCGAAAACGGAGGAGACACCACCCACATCCGTGAAAGCCGAGAATGTTCGAGCGCGACACGAAATATAAGGATGGGCGGAACAAAAGGTAGAGAAAGGTACTGAAAAGCGCAGGAGGAATGATGGGATGGATTCCAGATGAGAAGCTGGCTACAGGCCGAAGTGAAGAAGTCAGTGTACCCTGCGAGGAACGGGAAGGGGAAAAGGTACGAACATACGGGGGCGGGGAGGAATCGGCTGGTGCTTGATGAGGAATTTGGTAAAGAGCAAGATGAAAGATAAATTAGGGGTGTACGTGAGATGTGGACAAGGTGGAAAAGGAGGTCGTCGTAGCTGAGACGTGGAGAGCGAGGCGTGCTAATAATTAGCGGCCTGGCGGGGGAAAGACAGGTGATGGATGCAGGCAGTCCGTACGGAGCAGTCACAGGAGGGGGAGAAGGAAAAGGTCGAGATTTGCACAGGCGAAACTGAAGCAAAGTTACACGGCACGGCACGAGAGAGATGGCGAGGGGCGGGGTGGGAAAGAGAGAGTATGGAAGGAACTGAAGAGAAGCAAGGCAGAAGAGGAGGAGGATCCGAACCGATCCGGGGTTGATAAGCAGGAGAAAACGTCGGAGTGAAGTGGACTGGAGTGGAGTATGCACCAAGAACAAGAGCTGTGTTGATTGATGATTGATCTCACTCCTTTTCTTGGAATCGAGCCAAACCAAAGACTCTTCTACTCTTTAGCGAGAATGTTGCCTCAAGTTCCTCCGCTCTAGCCCCACAGGGACGTACGTTCCTTCTTTTGCTCTGCACATATAATCCTATTGATTAAGCTATGTACTCGACTCGATCCCGCTGCGACGCAATGTTGCACCGCTCCTCCTGCCCCCCGCCCCGTTCCTCGCTCCGTCGATTCCTCCCTTTCTCACTCCCTCTCCCTCTCTCCTCTCTCTCTCTCTCTCTATCTCTCCGACTGACTCACTGACTTGTTCCTACCGTAATCTCAATCTCTCTCTCTCTCTCTCTCTCTCTCTCTCTCCCTCCCTCTCGCACTTTCGCACAACTCTCCTCCTCCTCCTCTAAAAGCAACGTAGGTGGTAAGTAGTAGGTGTAGATAGATAGGGACGACAGAATCAGCTAGGTGCTGAATCAATCGATCGTATCTTGTGTGTCTGCGTGTTCCACTTCTCTCGAGAAAACTCTTGGCCCCTTGGAGGAAGCGGCCCCTAGCCTTCTTTCAAGCTGCGCACGAGGACTCGCTCTCACATCACATCAAAGCCAGACGCTCCCTGTCTCTAAGTTTCCCTTCTAATGCTGCAGATGGCGGGCGAGCGAGCGAGCGAGCGAGCGCGATGCAGGCCACCACCAGCGAGAGAGAAGAGGAAGAGTTGACCAGGCTATTGGGGAACAAATGGGATAATGGTCTGGTCCCTCCCGGAACACGGGTTGGGACACACCCCTCCCCGGCCCGCCGGGCAGCAGCCTGCTGCCTCGCACATCCTCTAACTCTACAGGAACGCCAGTCGTCCGGTCGCACCAGAACCCGCCCCACCACCACGAGCACCGTTCGTTCGCTCGCTCGCCCGCTCGCTGCTGCGTCCGCTCTGTGCATTCTCGTAACGTAACGAGGGGAGGAACCCGACGAGAAGCCTCGCCTCGCCTCGCCTCGCCATACAAGCCCAACAGAAGAGTTGACCCCTCATCACCGCCGCCTTTACTGCGTTGTTCTTCCTGCTGTCCTTTTTGCACTCTCCACGCTATCCCGCCTCCTACAGGAACACCGGATCGGGGCCGACGACGGGACGACCCCCCCACCCCACGACGTTCCCTGTTCTCGCCTTTGACCGCCTGCTCTGCTCTTCCTGCCCGGGCCCTGGGCCTGGGCATCGGGGCCCGTCCCGACTTCTCTCGCCCCGGCGCCATTGCGCTCCACGCCTGTCTTGATGCTCTTGTAAAGAGTTTGGCTGTGCATGAAGATGCCATTGCGGCGCAAGCATGCCAAGCCCTCCCCCTCGTTACAAGGTCACCCCCGACTCCGCCCTCGCTCCTTAACTCCGGTCATATCCATGGCCGGGCACCGGCCGCAACATTTCTGCGCGGGCAGGCAGTCACGGCCCAATCGCAGCGCCCCGGACTTTCTAAACCTGGCTGCTTTCCCATGTAGACTTTTCCCCTCTGCCAGCCTCGCCAGCATAGCATGTCTTAGGGTCATGCTGCCTACTAGTTTCCAAGACGTGTGGGGTCATTAAGGCCACTATTTTCTCTCTCTCTCTCTCTCCCTCCCTCCCTCCCCCATGCGCCTGATTTTCCCGGTTTGATTTTTTTGCCGCTCCCCCCGTCGGTCCTTCCTTGGGCAACAAGTGACGAGAGGCTGCTGCTGCTGCTGCATTGTAGCAGATTCCTCGAGGACAGTGGGCTCATCATAAAGAAGAAAGCGAGCGAGCCATGGCACAAATCCTCAATCTCAGGCACTTCCGCAGGGTAACTAACCGACTTAACGAAGCGAACGCGCGAGCCGCTGCAAGCCAAGAGTGGATAAGGGTTGGTAAGTGTCCGAACGAACGGGTATCTAAACCGGTGGCCAACTCTGTGAATTCGCAACTTCTTCCGAGTTCGTCTGGGCGAGTATGTTGTTCTTATCCATTGCAGGCTCGTCGGAGGCGAACGTTCGTTCGTACAGGACAGATCGGAGGTATATATCCATAAAAGCCAAGCGAGCGAAGGCAGCGAGCCAGCGCTGTAATTCGAAGCAACGGATAGGAAGTTCGGCCACGGAAGGCGAAGCTTAAACCATGTCTTAGAAACTGGTTTGCGATAAGCGGGCGCGCGGGCAGGCGCTGGGATTTGTCGCGCGAGGGGCTGAACTCCGATGAACTGGGTGGCGAATGGGCGGCGATGGCAGGAGGGGCGGGCGACGTATCCACGGGCAGGGCAGGGCGCGGCAGCGGGCAACAGAAGTGGTGAGGAGGAATGGGGAGCCGGCGAGCAGGAAATGGGAATGGGGCGGATTCTGTAACGGTAGCGGTGAAAGGACAGCAGCGACCGGTCGCTGAACCGGAAGACCTCTCCCGTACAAAGAAGAAGGCGAAGAGAGCGGCGAGGGACGGGCTGACACGGTCCCACGGTCGGCAGCGGGCCGACCGTGGGTCTGCCGCACGCACGCTCACGTGGCCAGAAGGGTAGGGGACGCTCGGTCCGATCTCGGTTCGGGTCTCTCCGAGCCTGATGTAATCCAACGCGGTTTCCTGCGTTGACTGGAACGATGGAAGCTAAATACGAGGTTCGGGCAATGAAGCCTAGGCCTGACACCAACGTGCGCTCGAGGTTAAATATTAACCCTGGACAGGTCGGAAATCTATTGGCCACGTCATTTCCCGCCATTCCTGACATCGCTGTGTGTCAGCAAACATGCGGTATCTGGGCCGCTTCCTTTCTCTTGTGAGCGAGGGCTTGGATGACGTGGCGCCATGTAGGATGAAACTGGCCCGGACGTGAGGACGTGATCTATATGAACCCACCTGTACCTTTGAGGTGGGACGCTGCTCTCTCCCATTCCCCCTCATGTTCCCCTTTGCCTTGCTGTTTTGTATATTCATTCCCATGCCACAGAAGGGAGGACTGGACCCACTCGCCCTCACTCGCATTCTGCTGAATATCCAGCCCTCCCTTCTCTTGCCCCAGAGAAGTCCATGATCTTGCTGCTGCCTTATTTTTTAGTCCATTCTCGTCCCTGTCCAGCTTTCGCTTCATAAGAAAGTCCAATAGTGAGCGTCCATGATCTCCGAAGTGAGCTCGAGAGAGATGCCTTTTTCGCTTTCTCCTCTGCCTCCGAAACTGTATTCTCGAGGCTACTTTCTTTTCCTTCTCCTTGTAATTGTACACTTTCCCACTCTCGACCATGATCATGTGTGCCGGTGCTGTGGGGAGTCGAAGATATCCATATGCATGCATACATAGAAAACCCAGTCAGGTCTGAGATTCCTCACCTTTGGTGTGATCACTTGAACATCTATGTTCGCATAGAGTTATGTGGACCCCGCTCCGAGGTGATGACAGAGCACCCTGCCATGCGCGAGGTTTACTTTCATCGTTTCGAATCTTCCATCATCAATCTATTATTCCCACCCACTCTTTCTTATATTTGTATCTAGCTTTCCGTGGTCAAGTCCACAACATATCTACACTCCAAGCCCCGTATGCATACTCTCCCCGAGTTTCGACCATCAGCTCTTTGTTCCCTGCACTTTTAAAAGTCCGGAAACTAGGTGTAAGTCAAGAGTATAAGACACCCGCTTTTCAAGCCACATTGCCATGCTCAAGGCTTACTCTAATGGCCCATGAATCTTCCAGCATCAATCTAATCATAGTCTACCTTTGCTATATGGTTCACGAACGTCTTCTTCCTTCAGGGCACTAGGCACCTCGTTTACGATCCCGCCTTACCTGCGCATGTTAATGGTTTATTATAGTCACAGTGCATGAAGTGCTCAGATTCCACATCACCACCCCCATACTTGCTCCAATCATTCGCTAATAATCTACTATTATGCGTATTCCTCACCACTTCTTTCGTGTAACTTTAGTCTGCTCTGTTGTATCAAATATTTTATGAAGCAACGGCCGGTGCCACCTTCTACCCCTTCGAAGACATATAACCGTTTCCACGAAAAATCCTGAGCTCCACCATTCATCCTCCAGATTTCTAGTCTTTGTTAGTCTCCGGAAGGCTAAAAGTGATTATTCAGAAAGCGCACCTTTTGAAGAAACAAAGATGACTTCTTTCTCCGTGGATCTTCTGCCATCATCCCTATCATGATGTATCTTTTCGTAATTGTAGATTATGCATAAAGTCCGGCCTCAAAATATTGAACTCCAGGTGATCTTAGTGTACTCTAATGTAACTATTGTGGCAACCTTCTCGAGTCCGGAAATTGCTGAGACTTTTCGTTTTGAGCCCTGGTTCTGGGGTTCATGAATCTCACTTTTGGAGCTTCCCTTCTTTCGTGCTTCGAATCACAGCCACCATCTGGATGCTCGTGGTTTACTCCTTTTACATCCAACTTTTCTTACAATCTATTCTTCGGGACTCTACAAGGACTTTTCTCATGGAACTTGAGCTCCTTCGTCAATATATGATGCTTCGTTCTCTCTCTAATTTCGACCAGACTCTCTCTCTCTCTCTCTGTGTTCATGATTCAGCTTGGAACAGATCACATGTAAATGCACACCTTATCAATTTGAAGAACTTCGCGCAAGTTGTGCTCCTCGCTTAAGTGCACAACACATGCTGCAGCTTTTCACACCACTTTTATTCATTCTTATTTGCTGTTCACCTTCCATGCTTGTAATGTATAAGTCGGACTTTTAACTTTTACTTTCCGGTCTTGAAGTTCCTGCTCGGGTTTCCATTATTCGGGTTAGCCTGAGCCCATTTTCCGAGATCTTTTTCTTTCATTGAAAGTAATTATATACAAAACTAAAAATATAAGGTATGGATATATACAAGGTATGATAGAATATATAAACTTTATAAACCTTTCCTACAAATATGTACATAATGAATTTTTTAGTTTTCAAAACGGCATTGTTACACTTGAGAATAAATACAGGCATAAAAAGAAATATTAAATACTGTGGAGATTCTTTTGATCGGCTTGTCATCAAACGAAAAATTTTGAAATATATATTTCCAAACAGAAGACAGCTCAATATTATAAGATATTTTTGTGTTCAAATTTTATTTTATTTTCAAGATTTATCTAGATTTGATCTGTATAGAAATACTCGTCAAAAAGAAAGTAAATATGTTACATATAGGTTTTATTAAAAAGAAAAAAATCAGACTTCAATGCGAATGCAATTATATAAACAGTATAGAATCTTAAATAACCGTAGATAGATCCTAAGATTAAATAATTTAATGGATCTACATTCTTTTCATAAATGCGAAGACGTGTATTGAAAATATCGATGCCAAATTTGCAAAATCTTAAACCTGCAGATTGCACTGAGTGATGTAATTTATTTTATTTTCAGGAAATTATTCGAGTAAATAAAAATTTATAGAACTCAGTGCGTGTACTTGGTTTTCAGATTTTTTCTGAATTTATCAAGTTAGAACTAATGACACTCAATGAAAATTTTGAAATAGTTTAAATCTGAAGTTTTTTTTTTAAGTAAAGATAAAGATCATATTACTGATACATATGGTTGATGTAAAGAGCTCAATGTAACGATTTGAAAAATTCTTCCTCGAAATTCTCATGTTCGACAGTACTACGTTGCAAAGTCCTTTACCATTTTCCAAACTAGAATTTTGGTGTATTTAGGTTGTCGACATATGTGTGTGCTGGCCTTTGAAACGCTTGTGTATGTAAGTAAACATATATGTAGATTCATGATTACAATTTTTAAAGCGTAATTTTCTGATGAACTCGTTTTCTCATAGGATATTTACAGAAAAAGCGGAATATACACATATATTATTAAATTCTGTTAAAGAAAAAACACGAATCAGATTGTATCTTGAAGGAGTATGCCATTTTACTATTATGTCATCTTTGATATAAGAAACGGAATGTTTGATTCTGGTGAAGGAGAGAGTAGAGTACGATTGAGAAGCAAGTAGCAAGTATTTTACAAGTTGATCAAACTCATGCATATAGTAGTATTAGTATGATTCAAAGCGCACGGTGGCACGGTGACACACTAGCCCATTTCCTCCCTAACTTATGCAGCGGAACTGTCCGTGGATAGGGGAGTGACGGAGAACGTATAAGGTTGTCTTTAGTGCATCAATTAACAACATGTGGATACAGTAAGGGGTTGGCGCATAATTCAAGATGTCGGGGAATTAGAAAAAGTATCGTGGGTTGGGAAAATAATGTGTGGTCAAGTAGAGAGTCACGACTTGACATAAAGGAATGAATGCTAAATTTGAAATGACATTTATGTGAAAGATACCATTCCAAAGCACGAGGATT